TTTAATTTTGAATATATTTTAGTCTATTATTGAAAACTAAATTTAAACATTTGCAAGGACTTAAATTATGAAATTTTAAAATTTAATTAATGATTAATTAATTAGGGTGAAATATGAGTGTATTTATTTATATTATTATTTTTATTAAATTATTATATCAAGGATATTTTAGAAAATAAAAACAAATGAATTTTCAGTTAAAAATTATTCTAAATCTAATTTTATGGAATTCAATTGAATTTCTTATTTTAAATTGTAGTATACTAAATATGTTAAATTTATTTAAAAATAAATTCTATAACCATAATTCATTTGCTATAAATGGAACGTAAAATTCTAATCAACATCTACTACGAGAATTTCCTCTTCTTCGCCAATATCCTCGCGAAAAGTTTGGGAATAGCGAGAGAGAAAATGGTCATAATATTTAGAATTTGGGGTGTGTTTAACGAGATTTTGATGGATTAGCTTGGCTTGAGACACATATTTTAACTGGGCACAAGCTTCAAGTAAACGTGTATATTCTGCAAGACTAAAGCCTTTATAGGATTTCAGACGTGTTGCATATAACATCTCTCTTTCTTTTACTCATAGAATTCGAAAGCTTTGGATTAGAAATCAAAACTACTCCCACTCGTTATTAACGACAACTTTTACTGCCTGTCGTTTCAAAGATCCCGGACAATCTTTGGGTAAATCCGCGCAAAATTTTCCTTCCAACCACTGAGCGTTTTCTCCCTTTTTTCTCTCCACACTCACTGACAGTATATTTGCAAATGTACCCCAACTCAACTGGGGTTGTGCTAGGCACATTTTGTACAATTTAGCAGCTTCCTTTTATTAAAAAAAAAAAGATATAGAAAGATTAAAATTAAGCTATAAAATTTTAACTTTTTATCAAAAAATATTTTCTGGAAAAATTAACAGGAAATTCATTTTCAAGACTTTACAAATTACTGAATTTCTATATTGAATTACAAAAAATAACGATATTTAAACGTCATTCATTTTTTTTAATGAAAATTTCTATATTAAATTTCGTCCTTCAGATTTTATAAAATTAATTGTTTTTTCTCCTATTTTTGTACATTAGGTATTTGTCTTTAGGTTTAATTTCATATCACCAAATGATCCTTCCATCTAATTTTAATAATTTTTTTGTCATCAAACGTCTAGGAAAGACTAAAAATACCCTTTAGATAAGATAAAAGTAAAGCTAGTATCAATGTTCTTCTCTTGCTTCTCTCCAAATCTCCATTTTTGCAACTATATAAACTCAAAAAAATATCAAACGAAAATTCCATAAAATTACTACTTCTAGTGAATCAAATCCAACCCACCATTACAGCATATTATTCAACTAAGTTTCAAGAATGGTAACCACAATCCACCATCATAATCCAAAACCAAAAAAATAAAAAATAAGAAACAATTCAAATGCCATCTTTGTACAACCCAATCAGAAAAAAAGGAAACAGACAATTGAAAATACAAAAAAATAAAAAAAAAATAAAACCTTTGACCTAGTGGCTGAGCATGCACAGGACTTGGAGTCGATTAACGGCACCGATCTCCATCAAGATTTGGATCCTTAATTAACGGCATCGATCTGGATCCTCCAAAGTCCGCCCACTTATGGGTGAGGGGAGGAGTCATAAATGGCTCCTTGTTGATTGGCATTGTGAAGGAAAATGAGAAGGAAAAGAAAAGAAAATGAGAGAAAATGAAAGAAAAAGAGAAGGAATTCTCAGTTCTTTAAAGAGAATACAGAGAGTAAAGAGAGAGACGAAAGAATCTAAATGGTTGGGTTTTAGACTTTGAGTATATGTGAATCGCGAAGAAAAAGTGTAAACAAACTGCTTTTTGTTAGATCTTTGTCTTTTGATAAATACCTTTTTTTTTTTTTTTTTTTGACCGAAAGAATCCTAAATGGTTGGGGTTTGTAGACTTTGGAGTATATTGTGAATCGCCGGAAGAAAAGTGTATAACAAACTTGCTTTTTTGTTAGATCTTTGTCTTTTGATTAAATACCTTTTTTTTTTTTTTTTGCGATTAATTTCTCAAGCCTTCCGATCCTTCACAAGTACCTAGGAAAGTTAGGACAATAAACACATTCTTGGTAATGAACTACGTAAACTATCTGCCACTTGGTTGTGGTGCTGCTGGCACACATAATAAAAGTGTAAACTAGTTCTTTTTTTTTTTTTTTTTGGATAATCTCAAGCCTCCGACCTTCACAAGTCCTAGGAAAGTAGGACCAATAAACACATTCTGGTAATGAACTACGTAAATATCTGCCATGTTGGGCAACATAATATTTAAACTAGTTTTTAGATATTAAGGTAGTATTTTATAAAAAACTTACCTATGTAATATTTAATTTTTAGCATTTTGTGAAAAACTATTCAAACAGATAATAGCTAAACACTATTAAAACAATTAGTTTTACCGAATGGACCCTTGGACTAACTTGTGGTGGTAAGAGGAGGAAGACCACGAAGAAGAGAGCTAGAGAAAAGAAGCTTAAGGTATAATTTTGCATTTTAAAATAACTCTCTCTCATCTCTTTTGTTTTTTTTGCCTCTTTTGATGGAAAACACATATGATTTTGGATGGAATGACCATTTAATAAGACAGAACTAAACTGCAGAAATCAAATACCTAATATATAAAAATATAATAACGAGATAATTAATATTGTAAAGCCTCTGGGACGAAATAATCGTTCTCTTTTTTAATTTTTCATTCTAAAAAAATAATATAAATTTTTCATTAATATTTTAGTTATATTTTATGAGTAATATAATTCATTAACGTAATGTAAGTTTTCAAAAAAAAAAAAAAATTCATTAATGTATTTTTAATGATAGCAAACCGCAAGCCAAAAGAAACCAATAAATGCTTTATTGCAGTTTGTTTTAAATTAATTTCGTTGATTAAATAGTTTAATTTGAATTGAAATTTTTTCAAACCAGCAATTTATAATTTAATTTGAAAATTTTTTCCAATCGTGCCAAACTGAACCTAGCTCACCCCTTATTGTTGATTGTTTTGACTGAGATTCCGTTCAGCAACGGTTTTTGAGATTTTTATTATTTATAGTGTTCGATAATGTACCATTTATTGGAGTGCATAAAGTTTGAGGAAGCATATTAGGAAATGTTACTCTTTTTAACATTTGTTGAAACACAAGTTAAACGGTTGAAAGCTACTAAGGGTCTGTTCAACAAAATTAGTTGTTTTAGTAGCGTTTGGTTATTAATTAGCTGTTTTAGTAGTTTTTCGTAAAATACTGAAAACTAAACGTTACATGAGTTAACTTTTTATAAAATGCTATTAAAATTTCTAAAAGTTAGTTCAAACAATATGTTACCGAATACTATAAAATATAGATTTATTGTTTTGACTGATCAAAACTCTAAAAATTACTTTAAAAAATCATTGTGAAACACTGCTTGTGATAATTTGTAAAACAGTTAATTTTATCTGCGAGACGTTACCGTTACCGTCACCTAAATGGATCCAAACCAATACAAAAAGGGTTGAGACAATGACAACTGATCACCTTCAAATGGTCCCCCACTTCTCATTCCTCAACAACATTCAAACAGAAACATCGGTTGTTTTTAATATACAACTTAGAAACCGACAACTGCTGACCATGCCACGTGGATATCTATTCCATGCAATCTCCACGTGCGATCACGCCTCCCTTACATGGTTCTTTCATCCATGCAACCACAATCCACGAACGACCGGGTTTTATTGGCTATGTACGAAGAAATTCTTAAATAAGCTATGTCTCATCTCTAAATTCATTCATTCATTAACAAACTAACTATAGTAAAATCAATTCAGCTAACTTAGTTTGCTCTCTCTAAGTATGAATATGATTGGGTTTCGAATCGAAACCAAATTGAAATCCAACCGATTAAAACTAATATAACCGTGATTAATGATTTTTAATTCCAATTCATAACCGAAACCTTAAATATAAGGTTGGGTTTTGATTCTTATTTTTTGAAGCCGTAAAATTTGGCTTTTTCTAATGTATAGAGGTTAAAAAATTATGTATAAATACAAAATTCTATTGAAGTGACACCTCAAACGTATCAACTTATATGGTTAGCCATTAAGTAGTCTTTTATTCTTATATTTTCTTTTTTTTTTTCCAAACAAAATATTCGGTCTCATTTTATTTAATTGTTATTTCTTTTTTAGATGTTTGCAAGATTTCTAAATTTAGATGTGTAAATAATTATTTTTTCTATAATAATCTTTATGATTATTCGTTAAATGAATGACTTTTATTAATATCTTAACGATTTTTTCGTATAATAATCTTTATGGATTATTCGTTAAATCCCGAATGCGACTTTTATAATATACTTAACGAGTTAAGGATAAAACAAATTTAGATGTGTAAATAATTATTTTTTCTATAATAATCTTTATGATTATTCGTTAAATGAATGACTTTTATTAATATCTTAACGAGTTAAGGATAAAAACAAACAAAATAACTTTTATTGACTAAATTCTTAATATGCGTATTTTGTCAAACCATGCAAACAAAATAGGATGGAAGGAATAAATTTTTTATGTTATTAATTTTTCTTTTATTTTCTTTAGACTAACTTTTATTTATCTTCAAGACTACAAATATATTCTAAATATTTTGTTGACTGGAATATAATTCTAAATTTATTCTTTATTCTTGGTTTGTTCGTTAAAAAGTAATTGATATAATGTATTGATGTCTTTTTAAATTTCAAAAATAATATAATAACAAATGAATTCAAAGGTAGAAAGTCATTTAAATATTTGTAAATCTATGGATTTCAAAATGTTAAATCTAATGGTAGATATGCATTTTTTTTTACTAACAAAGAAAATTTTAATTCTATATAGTAATTTTGCATGTAAAATTTATTATTATTTTTCTCTTTTTCCATCGAAATAACACCGTCACTCATAGACGGCAAAAATTATTTAGGCAGTGGATAGAAATGTTTTCGTTTTTTTATCTGAAATAATACATGCAGTAACCTAAATTGATTAAAAACCAAGACAAAAAGGGTCGAGACAGTGACACCCGCAATCCCCTTCAAATGGTCCCCAATTTCACATTTCCTAAACAACATACAAACAGTAGAAATTTTCAAAACAAGTTTACAAGTAGACAACTGCTGGCCCTGCCACGTTGACATCTACTCCATGCAACCTCCACGTGGATCACGCCTCCTTAATTAACATGGCTAGCTGCGGTACGACGTCATTTTACCATGCAACAGCAAAGAGAAAACCACCGAGCCGCAGCGGTGAGTGGGTTTTATTGCCTGCCTACCCTTTTTATTTAACTACCCTTAGAATTCCATACAAATTACAGAGTGACCCATTAGTGCTATTCTTGTACGAATCATTATTTAGCAATCATGTGTTTTCGACTTTGCGATGGATGTTATGTCCTCTTCTCTCTTTCAGCTTTAGCTCTCTCCTCCCTTCTCTTCTTATATCCCTCGAAAAACTCCTTGTTCTCTTTCTCCAACTCCTTCCACACTATGTGAAACACAAATATAAAAATTTTCAAGTATAAAAGTGAATTCAAAGTGAAAGATTTGAAGTCTAACAAGATATATGGTTATTCAAAGTGAAGAAAATAGTATTTAATTATGATAAAAAAAGTTATTTTTTTTATCTCCAAAGATATATTGAGTAGGATAGAAAAGAATTTATGAAATAGGAAGAACTTTTTTGTTGTTGTGTAGCTCATTAAATTATGATAATTAAAAAAGAAAATACTATGTATTATCATGTTGACATAGTTAAAAAAATTTTAACTTATTATGTTAAAAAAGAGAAAATTGGTAATAAGAAGAAAAAAGAGTAACCTGTAGAAGTGATGACAGGTTTGATGTCGGCGTGCTTGGAAAGAGCTTCCATGCACTCTTCTTTGCTCATGTTAAATAGGATGCACTCTTCTATCAGATGGTGCACCTGCCAACCCAACATACATCATCATCATCATCATCATCATCATTGATCATATCATATAAATATCAGAATACCTGTAAAAAAATATCTATATACCGTGTGGATATAAGAAGCAGCAGACGAAGAGTCACCCATGGCCTTGCCTCTGCTTAGTGTCATTAAACCCTAGCTAGAGTTAAAGATTCCAGAGGCAAAGATATAGAAATCAAAGAAAGTAAACGTTAAATATATAGAGAAAAATAAGAAGAAGAAGAAACTAGATCAATTAAGAACAGCCGAAAGGGCTCAATATATATATATAAACTATAGTGGAGAAGATGGGTACCTGGTAGAAATTACAAGTATTTTCCAGCTAAAATATAATAATAAAATGAAAAAGGAGAGGAAAAATGATCGAAAGACATCATGGCATTTGTGGGGCCCAATGTCCCACGTGGGAAGAGAATGATAATTGGTGGAGAGAGGATTAGAGAAGATTTTAAAAGCAGTCTTTATTTGTCTTACGTGGCCATTATGCCATTCTCCACGTGATATATGGGCTCCACACCTTTCCTCCCTTAAACCCAAGCCATTGTCAAAAGCACCGTTTTCCCCTATCCATTTGTTGGTCTGGACTCTGGATAGCCAGTTCTTTCACTCGTCCTATGGGCTATCCATGCACCAAAATCAATTAAAATTAATTTTTTAATTAAAATAAAAATATTTATAACTATTCACTAAAAAAATAAAAAGTTTTTAAAAAATATTTAATTGATGTGGTACACAAGGATGTAAATGAATCGAGCCGGCTAGCGAGCTATTCAAGCTCGGATAAAAAAAAATTGAAAAGGGCTCAATTCAAGCATGCTAATTTAGCAATCGAGCCGAGCTCGAGCCTAATAATGTTTAGCTCGAAAGCTCGTCAAGCCTTATCGAGCTTTTATAAATTCGAAGCCGAGCTCGAGCCTTTAATAATGATTTAGCTTCGAAAGGCTCAGTCAAGCCTTATCGAGCCTTTATATATATATAATATATATATATCATATATATATATATATATATATTATATTTAAGTCACTCGACCTTGAACTAATTCAAACGTTCTAAAATTTCCAAATTAAACTCGAATTTGAAGTCGAGTCTTTATATATTATATTAAGTCACTCGAACCTTGAACTGAATTCAAGTTTAAAATTTTTCAAATTAAACTCGAATTTGAAGTCGAGCTCAAGCCTAAAAAATTTTCAATTGCAGCTCAATATATATATATATAAAATATTATTTTAAATTACTTGAACCTTGAGCTGAGCTCAAACTTATTTTTCAAGTTAAACTTGAGCTTGAGCTTGAAGTCGAACTCGAGCCCCTAAAAAATTTTCAGATTTGTTGAATTTTAAATCGAGTTTCAAGCTTAACAGGTTCGAACTCGACTTAACTCATTTCACCCTTAATGGTACATGAGTAGACTATACATCAAATATATACAAATCTTATTGATTATAAATAACGGTTGAAGCTAATAAATTAGATTTGCTTAGATTCGAGTCCATTTATGGCCAAACTAACAAAAATAAAGTTCTTTTAAATATTATTTTCATCTGTTTTTTTCAATGAACAGTCAAATATCCTCATTCTACCAAGAATTGGTTTGATGCATGGATGCAAAAACTGAGTCTAGGCAAGTCAATATGACTAATATGAATTTTCATGCTTTTGCTCAATTGTCAAGCTAAACTTGATTTTTCTGAGTATAACTGGGGAATATTCAATTTGCCCCTAGAACTTAATTAGTTGTATTAATTAAGAGTTTATAATTTTCTTTGGATCCATTAAATCCTTAAATTTTTATTTTGGATCGATTAAGTCCCTGTGGGTGGGAGATGATGAGGAGCAATACGTAGAAGGTTTAGAATATTCAGTTCCAAGCTTTGATCTTTATCACTAGTCACTCCAGCATATGGACATCAATGGAAATTCAATTGGTGTGGATGGTTATCATTTATAATGCATTAAAACTCCTAGACATAAACCGTAGACATAAACCTTTTCTAGTATCTGTTTTCCTATATAAAACACTGTTTCCGTGTAAAATTATATTTTAAATGTTGTCTCCATATCGTTTCTGCATATCCACTTTGCTTCATTTCTGTTTCCATTCAACATGGGTTATCATCAACATCGTTTGCAAATTAGAACACAAGGATCTTATGTCGACAAGAAGCAGCAAGAGGATCGTAAAAGAAATATAAAAAAATGAGACACATTCAAATGGATCAAATACAAGAGATGACAGGAATGTCCATAAAGTACCTTAAGATACGTCTGGACCTTGTTCTGATAGAAATCTTGTACCATGAGCAGCCACATCATAAGAAGTTATATGACATTACTGCTACTAGGTCAAAAGGCACACTGGAAGGAAGCATACAGTTTCTGACTTCCTGTAAGGCAGTAGGGGTAAACAAGAAAATATGCATAGTACTGAGAAAGTGAAGAGAATGGGCAAAGAACAGTTCAGGCATCAAAAGGAAAGCGCACTTGCTCGCTAGGCAAAACAAGAGTGTTAGTGCTAGAAGAATGTTCTAAAGGAAAAGAAAGACAGTGCATGAAAACGATGTTGATTCCTCTAGTAATTCCAAGACCCCGCTTGGTAAATATCGTTACAATAGAGAGTTCAAGGGTGTTCTTGGTCAGTTCACTAACCCGTTTACTAAGCTTAAATTACCCTTATGAGAATTTTCCTGATAAGAATATTATTGTTCTTGCCTTTGATATCTTCTGGAAGCCCCAGAAACTTCAATCTCCTTGATTAAAAATACTAGGGAAAGGTACACAAATAAAAATATAAATAAAAAATATACTTCCGCATCCAGCTCCTTGAGTAAATTTCGTTTAAGCTTCATTTGTTTCTAAAAAAAATGTGCTTATAAATTAATAAATTCATCAATACACGAAAAATATTTTCCTCTTAAAAAAAAATGACTTAATTTTCCCTTTGATCAAGAAAATATTTCTATCAATTGGTTTTTCTGAGCACCCAAACAGCAAAAAATTTAAAAAGTAATTTCCAAACAAATTATTTTCAAAAACAAATGGAGCCTTATTCTTTAATTTAATCAATAAGGTCTAAAATTAAAAATTACAAAAAAAAAAAAAAATGCAGTACACAGGTGCCAAGAATAATTGTTCACTGACTTGAAAAAAATACTAAATAAAAACTAAGTACTTTACAGTATGATTGTCAAGCCATCATGATGCAATTGCAAGTGCATGCAGATGGAGAAGACTAAAGATTAGATGTGTGGTGCTAGAAAAGAGAACATTAGAACATGAAACATCAAAAATTTCTTCTATGGTTACAGTCAACTTAGAAGTCAATCTCAATACTGACAGATTCACCATTCTTATAAATTGTTAAATCGCAATCAGCTTCAAGCAAGCAATAAACTTCCACTGAAAATGCATGAAAGAAATGGAAAGGCAATGTGCATAAACCATTTAGCTTCCACTTGCATATTTGGCCATGTTCAACTCACAAGTTTTCTCAATACAGCTTCAGCCCGGTGCTCAAATTTGGGTAGGGCCCATTCATGCTGAACTATGTCAAGACTGTCTTTCTCAGCACTTAAACTCTGAAAATAACACAAACAGTATTAGAGGTAGAAAAATTGCAAGACAAGAACAGTGCAATTTATTTAAGAATGATTAGACAAGTAACAACTCACAAAGTACAAATTCATCAAGGCGATTTTCATGCTTGTGCTATACATACAGTTAATAAAGAAGCCTTTCAAGCACAGGAACATTCTCAAATTAGATCACATAAGAGTCCAAAACCAATATTGGCTAATTAGTGTTTTTGCTTTTTAAATTTCAAAATATAATCAGTCTGTAACAGATCTAAACTCAGTCCGATAGAACTGGAATCAAGAGTTGAAATTGAAAGAAAGAGTATCTTTTGGTGTCACATCAGAGATACTCTAGAAAAGCATATATCAAGCATCTTATGCATGAGATGTGTCTAAAGCTAAGAAGAAAGCAGGCCATCTTGTTCATAAAAGTTGGATACCTAATTGGACATAGGGTTAAGATGAACTGAAAAGACAAAGCATGATGACAAAGCCTGATGTGATGCATGATCACTTGACCATATACCATATCAGGACTACCACCACATGAAAAACATGAGAATGAGCAAGGTTCACAGAATTAGCCTGCCAATGGCGGTTGCAGCAATGTTTGATGCTACTTCATAAAAGTTATCTAAACCTAAAGGCGGTTGCAGCAATGTTTGATGCTACTTCATAAAAGTTATCTAAAACCTAAAAGACAAAGCATGATGAGAAATGCCAATTGTGATACAAATCACGGTGAACATATAGGAGGCACCATATCATGACTATCGCCAATGAAAAACTGAGAAATGAAACGCGGTCAAAGAGGTAGGCTGTAATGGAAGTGGCAGCAATGCTTGACGCTACTGTCAATAAAAGTTATCTAAACCTAAAAGACAAGATATTAATTTGTAAGATTAAACTGTCTTCCCCGGGAAAAGAAATGCTAAGAAAGAAAGGAGAGAGAGAGAGAAGAGGGAGAGTTGGGTTGGTGGTAGTTTGTTCTTCCATCAATCAAAACAATTGCACACTTAATTTGTTTCATATACTTGAATCAATAGGTGAATTTTGAAATTTTCATTTTTTTTTAATTATTGTTAGAATAAAAAATATTATGTTTATTACGATGTCCCATATTGTTTGTATTGGTAATCAACCATGGTAAATGTAGAACGGCCTAAAGTGAATGAATCAAGAAGGCTACTGGAAAACCATTATGCTGTGCCATCTCTTTTTCCTTTTTTAGTGTCTTCAAGATTCCTAGGTGACAATACTCGTCTCAAAAAATTAGGGTGAGATTGGGTCTGCTAGAAAAGCATATGTCCTAGGCAAAATTTTTTCAAGACGCACATATCGCCAGGACTGTGGCCCTAATAGTTCTCAAGAAGGCTACTGGAAACCATTATGCTGCCATCTCTTTTTCTTTTTAGTGTCTTCAAGATTCCTAGGTGACAATACTCGTCTCAAAAATTAGGGTGAGATTGGGTCTGCTAGAAAAGCATATGTCCTAGGCAAAATTTTAGACCACATATCCAGGACTGTGCCTAAAGTTCAGCCCTCATCAAAATCTAGATCCAAAATCCTAAACATTTAGCTAAAAAGGACTTCTAAATTAGTCCTCATCCTCTAAGGATTTATAGACTCCCACTATAAACTAGAAGGAACTGATAAAGGCAAAAATAAAACTTAAAAACAAGGACTCCTAAAGAAACAGAGAGATTTTCCAGCAAAGCCAAAAATTACCAAATTGCTTCTGATTCTGAGGGTAAAAACAGTAGGTCAGCATCTAAGTTGTTTAAATGGGCACATAGTAAAGCGCTAAAGCCCTAAAAAGAGAAATCCGCTACAATTTCCCTAATAAACCCTAAAGTTAAATTTCAGCCACAGTTATAAGCTCAACACTTCGAATTTGAATATTCATGAATGCCTTGACTATATCAACTAAAGGATATTTGACCAAGAACACTGTAATAACCCTTCCGCGTAGCATATAGCATATAGCTAGCATACCAGTGTATGCTATAAAATCTGTTAACAAGCATATGTGAATAAATATGTGTTCTATAAATATATGGAAATACCCAAATTACAAATAGACATCAAGATAGGAAACATAAAAATTTTGAAGTAGGCTGGGTCTAGCCCAAGAACCAGGCTTATACTTATGAAAGGTGCACAGTGAAAAGGGGGTCCTGGAGCCTGATCAAAGGTGCAAGCACATCAATGCGCCTGAGCAACAGCAGGCGCACAGTATAAGAAGATACCTAATTCTACATAAAACAAGTACTAAAAATAATAACATAAAACAATCAAAATCCTGGCCAATCATATAAGTATTTTTAACCGAAATCCTATGTTCCACAAAATTGGAATAATATATAAAACTAATAAAGTAGAAAAACTGAGTTGAGAAAAAAAATGGAATTGAAGAATGTGTTTTTAGATGGTTATGAAGTGGGAAGAATGGAGATATGATTCACTCTAATTAATTGATTGTATATTATATACATGGTGATAGACTTAGGGCACAATTTGCTACATTCAATTGATTGACGGAAGAGAATACTTAAGTCTATACATATCGGAAATTATCCAAAAATTTGGGACATAGATTGCCCAAATCAATAGTGGACTAGAACAAGTTTAATTTTACACATATATGATAACAACTGTAAAATTTTGGACGATTGAAGACATCATTTGCAAACGTTAATTGTTATAATTTCACATTCTCCACTTTCTTAATACTAAAAGTGAAGTAGCAAAGGTGTAACTAGGCATGTACAATGCCTCCTTAACTGAGCTAGCAAAAAAGTACACGCCTCATTCACATTATTTGCCCTAGAGTTGGCAGTGCACCTTGCTCCTGAAGCATGCCTCTTTAACAACTATGCTTAGCTAAGGTTATAAATGAGCCAAAACGCTCATGATCTGCTGAAGACTCAACTCGGAAAAAGCTTGTTCAATGAAGCTTAACGAGTCGAGCTCGAGCTTGCTCATAGCTCAAGCAAGAGTTCAAACTTGTAAAGTGGCAAAAAAGATTTTAACTTTAGATTGTAAACAAGATGTCTCAACTAGTTTGAGACTAAGGCTTGGTTGTTGTTGTTGTATTGAAACAAGCTTCCAAGCTTGAGCTTGAGTACACCTTTATCGAGCCAAGCTCGAGCTTAATAATATTCAACTCAGCATAGCTTGTTTACAGCCCTAAACTTTCCCCCGGTCATAAGCCATCATTCAAACCAGAATTAATGCAATCTTTCACGGGCATGATATTGGAATTTACTTAATATATAGGCCATTGTTGTCCAAAACTTCAATGGTAATCCATATTATTCTCCACAAATCTATGAGTTTTACGAATAGTATTCCACAAACCAAAGGCATCTACTCATGTAAATATTTAAGTCAATGAATTAACCAGGTTCCTTTTTTTCTTTCCTTTTGTTTTCTCTATGTTTCATGCAGAAAACAATGCAATTAACTACGGGAGTAACTGCTTAACAAACAAATACTATTGCTCTGGTGGTGGCTTTGATATCTTTCCCATTCTCTGTTAGCAGGCCCTTAAAGAGGTACAAGAGGTTTACGCATGGTAAAAAGAAGAAGTTACAACCAGGTTAACAAGATTAAGTTAGCATTTTCTTAGTGATGCTATCATGCTTTAGTGGATACTTTCATGTTTTAGTGGATTTTCAGTTATTGTTTCAGTTTTGATTTTTTCCCTTACTTGTAGGAGGGTGATCGTCCATAATTATTATGATTCCTTTTTCGTAGGGGATAGTTATTTCTCCATCGGTATTTATTCTAAACTCAAGAGTTTTACAAGTTCTCCCAAACGAGCTTGTGCCTTTAAAATCATAGGCTGCAAAAAGAAACTTCCCTTCCATCCTTCTCCTTCCTGTTCAGATCCATTATTCCATCTGTCCCATAACTCAATCCATATCAAGGAACCGTAACATTTTCACAACCTTGTCTGCAGCTTTGATGCTATAAAGCACTAAAAAGCCTCTCTGGAAGGGCACACTATTGTCAACAGTACATGCTAGACAAATGTGCATGCCCAGACAATTATCACATGCCAACCATGCCCAACAAAAAATTATACACACCTTTGGCATGTTTAGGACATGACTGAGTATGTCAAAGAAAAGATAAGACAAGTTTAGATATGATTGATGTAACTTTTGCAATTGTTGGACTTGCAATGGAGACCTGATTGGATACCCCCTGGGCACCTATTAGTAAAGAAAAGAACTGCCATATAAAAAATCACAGGCAAGGCTAAACGTTTTATAATGAATCGAGTATGATGCTTGTTGATGGATGGTTTTAGTTTAACTTTGATACTAAACATTTTATTACAAACAATGTGCAAAATGTAATTTCTGCTATAGATGGACATTTTTTATTTCTAAGTTATGAACAGACTCTTTATTTTGTAGGATGGAGTTTCCTGTATGCATCTTTCATATGACTAAAAATTTATTAATCTTGATGAAACAAAAGATTAATGCATCCACATTTTAGCATTCTAAACATTAAACTAATCTTATGACCTTTACAAATCTTTTAAGTAGTCCATCCCCTCTAACTTCTATGCACATCTCATATCCTTACGTCATTTAAGTAGTGTATCCTCTGTTGTCATGTTCATAACCATACATCATAGCCCGATGAAATTTGCAGGTTAGACTTCTAAAACTGTTGATAGGAATCTTTAGGTCTGACATGCTAAGAAATTAGTCTGACCATTACCCAATGCAGATCACCAGACTTTGACAGAAGTAGGACTAGTTATGAGCATGACCAAATGGGAGAAACTATAGGTCTGACAGGAAACGCAGTTCAAACTGCTTGTTTAGACCAAGTCGGAAATCAATGGCCACAAGTAAAGTGACTAGAACCATAGCTATCTGATCAAGAACACTATTGAATTAGACACAAAATAGCAAGAGAAATTGCAGAGCACAAAACAGTGAGTAATTATAACTTAACAATTTAAAATTTTGAAGCCCAAAATGCTACATAGAGAAGCTAAAGCTTGCACCTTTGTTGGATCAAGGCCAAACCCACTCATTTGCATCATACGTTGTGTGTCATCCACAGCTGTAATTCATAAAAGTAAGAATCATAAAGTGATTTTAAAAAATAGAAGTAATTCATACAGAACCTTAGTATGCAAATATCTAGATAATACATTTTCAGTAATTTTGAATGAAGGAAACAGCATGCAGATTTAAGTTATACGTCTACAATACACAACCTAGCTATGTATCTTATAAACAGGTTCTAACCATTTTCTTCACCGAGAATGAGACTAAATAAGCCCCTTAATCCAAACAAATTAAGGAAATACCTGGAGAAAGAAAGTAGTAAAGTATAATCAGATAGTATTAGTTAACAAAATGCCCAAAATTTGAATTAAAATACTCATTGAACAACAATGAAGCCTCTTGTTCATAAAGGCAGAGAAATACCATGAGCGACTACTGACATAACTGACATCAACAGTGCTTAAATCAATCCCATTTTGCAACATAGATCTGAACCTCTGAGTCAGAGGAAAAGGTATCTTGGCTGAGAGGAGCAAGAGAAGGTCATTAACAGAGTTCCAAAGAGTATCAAAAGAACATCACCAAAGTTGTGAGGACAAATGTGATTAGTCCTTGATATTGACAAGCTAGTACAGCGCATAGGGTGTTTTAACACAAACTAAAGCATTCAGAAAACCAACACAATGACAAAGAAACACACCTGCAACAAATCCAGAGAAGAAAAAGTTGACCCAAGCAAAAGTAAGAGTCTGGCCAACAGGAAAAATTTACAAATCACAAATGGCAATCACCTAATGTCAAGCAGGCCACAGCATGAGAATATTCCATTTAATTAGCAATACCTGAGGAATAATCATTGAAAGATTTTTCTTCATCATATCCATGGCCATATTTGGATCAGAAAACATTTGTGCTTGTGCGTTTTGCGCCTGCCCTTTCGGTACATGTAACAATCCATTTTCCTATGAAAATTCAATCCAAAGCATGTTAGAGACCCAAAAAAGAAAAAAAGAATAAAATGGTAATTAGAACTAATCAGTTTTACGACTTAGTTAAGCGAAATCATGGTGTTAAATAATTTCCAACAGTATAACTTCCTCAACCAAAATTGAGTTGAAGCATATTTCAAGTCACATCCATACAGAAATAAATTTTCTAATTTTCCAATTAGAATATCATCTAGAAATACTAACACAACCCAAAAAAATGGAGAAAAAATGGCAAAAAGGCAAACCTCGTTACTGAAATAAACCCTTCGAGCACGAAACGACTTTGGAGGTATGAAATTAGCACCAGAGCGCAAATTCCGAGCTCTGACAATTACTTGACTGACATTCATGAAAAATATATTGGAGTATGAAATTAGCACCAGTAGCGCCAAATTCCGAGCTCTGACAATTAAACTTGACTGACATTCATGAAAAATATATTATTATATATATATATATATAATGTCGATGGAGATTACATATAATATATATATTAGTCGATGGATACATATACAGAGAGAGAGAGAGAGATTGGGGTATAATTTAGGATTTAAAATTTACCCTTCTTTAACGATCTTGGCATCAGGGATTGGATAGGAACGCATGAGCTTGGAGACGAAGTAACGGAGGACTCCGATGAGAACCATAACTACCGACAAAGGAATCAACACCCAGTCTCTTATCGCCGTGTCTAGCACTAGATCTTCCGCCATAGCCCCAATCCTTTCTGACTGCAAGAATTGCTGTTCAGAATACGCACCGCGGCTAAATTGTATATGTATAATGTATTATTGCTCTTTCTTTTGTGTTTCTTTTCACTGTTCAAACGGAAAATTGATGAATGTAATTGGAGCAAGAGTTTTAAATTATTTATTTAGTTAGTTGATAGTTAGCCATGAGAATCCTAATTTCTTACTTATCTTTTTATTATTGCGGTTAAACTGATATTATTACACTTGGGCGGAGAATTATCATAAGAAGAGAAACTTTATACTTAAAATTTTACTGTCATTTTTTAAACATCCGTATTTTTATTTATTTGTCCTTATAGGATTGTTCGTGTTTTCTTATGTACTATTTTAATATTATTATTAGTCTATTTAAGACTTATGTTGTATATTGAATATACTCATTTTTTGTACTTATTTAATTTTTTATATCATTTTTCATTTTTATTTGTTATTTATATTTGTTATTTATTTTTTAATATCAAATATTAATTATAATTTTTTTCTTATATTATTTAGATTTTTATAACATTCAAATAAAATTTTATATGAGATTAATGTGAATATAAAAAATATTATAAAAAAAGATTAAATATAAAATATTTAATCTTATAAAAAAAGATTTTTCTTTTTTTTTATCTCTCTCCTAAATAAAATATTATAATTTTTGTCTTATATAATTTTTTGTCCTTATTTTATATTATTTACAATTTTAATAATATATAAATTTCACATGAAAGATTCAATATAAAGAATATTATTTTTCTTTTTTATCTCCTCTTCTAAATAAAAATATTATAATTTTTATTTTATTTTATTTAAATTTTTATAATATTAAAAAAATTCATATGAGATTAATGTATATAAAGAAATTATAAAAAATATTTTTTTCTCTTTTCTTATCTCTCTCCTAAATAAAATATTATAATTGTTATTTTATATTATTTAGATTTTTATAAGGTTTAAACAAAATTCTATATGAGATTTATGTGAATAAAAAGAATATTATAAAAAATATAATTTTTTTATCTCTCTCCTAAATAAAATATTATAATTTTGATCTTATAACATTAAAATAAAATTTCATATAAGATTAATGTGAATATAAAAATTTTTTTTCTTATATTATTTAGATTTTTTATAATATTAAAACAAAATTTCATATGAAGTTACTGAGAATACAAAGAATATTATATAAAATATGCCTTTATTTTTTTTATCTCTCCTGATAACGTATTTTAAATTATAATAAAATAGAATTAAATATTAGAAAATAAATTAAAAAATAAAATATAAAAATAAATATAAAAATTAAAATGTCTCATTAATATATATATTATTAAAAAATAAATTTTAAAGAAAAACTTAAAATTTTGAAATATTTTAATAATTTATATGTATTTATTTAAAAAAAAATTAATTTTGATTAAAATAATACTCAATTATCGAATAATAAGTATTTATTTAAAAAATAATTTTGATAAATATATCCAATCGAATAATAAAATATAATTTTCTAATTAGTCATGGCTAAAGCTATTTTAAGATATTCAAATTTTATAAAAAGTATTATTGAAATTCTCATTATCTCTTCTCACATTTATATATAGTATAAATTTTATATAATATTTTCAAATTTAAATAAGTTCTTTTATTTTTTAATTGAATGATAATTTTCAAAATGGAGTCTGCGAGTAAATATATACATGTAGGTAACGAGTATCCATGGGCATAACCGACGCCATTGAATTTAGGAATGAATATAACATTACTTAATAGAGTATCAGCTAGGATTATGCACAAGACCGTAAGAATTTTGATATGTTCCTAAAAATCGTCCTGAATTAATAAGTTTAGCAATTTTTATATTTCTTCGGTGAAAAAATAATTTAGTAATATTATGAAACATCTTGATTAATTTTCAAATTTCCATTCCGACTCATCCCGTACATCTGAATTTTCATCTCGTCTCATTTAAAAAATGAGACGAAATGGAATGAAATTACATGCCCATTGAGAGGGTACAACGAGTCCATTTCTTATGTATGGATTTTTGAGGATGAGACTGAGATAGATGCAATTTCCATCTCAACCTAACCCATGAACACTCCTAGAATCATGTAAAATACGAGATTAAGGATAGGTTTAGGGATGGGAATTGCACTACCCACCTGAACCTTACCCACTGCCATTCCTATCTTAGCCTAGCCAGATATGCATCATTATTTAAAAAAAAAAAAATTCCAAGGACACAATATGTCATTTAAAAAATGAGTAAAATACTTATATGTTCCTAAATTATAGTCAAATTAACACTTACTTAATTTGAATATTAACAAATGACTGTAATTTGAAGTCCCTAATTTACTATTCTAAATAAGTCCTTTCATTCGTTTTAAATCAAAAATAACTATTAAAAAAAAATACAGAGAGAAGGAGGGAATAGAATATAAATAAATCGCGAAGTTAACCTTAATGAAATTAACCACCATAAAAGAGGGAAATCCCCAATTTTCCATAAATTTGAGATCCAGAATTCAATTCATAAATCCTTTCGACCTTTCAATCCAAACCAATTTTACATAATGATCAATATACAGAGGCCGAGAAGAAGAAATCCAATGACCAATATATACTGTCAAAGGTGGCATGCTTTACAATGTTTGCCTGCAGTTCATCTAATGATCAACAAACCAATTTGAGAAACTAATACTTAAAAACTAAGTATTACTGCAGGCAGAGAACCTTAAAAACCAAGGACTGAAGATGCCTGCACTTCATGCAATTGTTAGTGTTGTTGGGTTGGCTTAGAGCGACGAAGAAAACTCTAAATAAGTGTAGAGTTACTTTGGGTCGAGTCGGGGGAGATTAGTTGAAAAGACCATCATTTGGCAAATGAGCTCATTTCGTGGTATCAGAGAAAGAGGAAAATGGTCAAGAAGGGTATTCGATTTTTCACAATGGTAATCTGTGAATTGTCCTCTTTAACGTGATTTTGACTTGAAACAATTTTCCTCTAAATTATCTGTTAATACTAGAAGAATGTAAATATTAATTTAGTGCGCCATAGGAAGAAAACAAAGTTCACTAGCAAATGTATGGATTTAAGGCAAAAAAAAAATTTTCCAAAAGCATAAACAATTTACATACACCTCGAAATGATAAAGATAGGTTTTCTTCTGCATCTCAACAAATTGCCGAGTTCCTGAACAAAGATAACAAACAGAAATGTCTAAAATTTGACTTTACTTATAATTAATTAATATTATCGCAGGTTTTTTTTTTTTTTTTTTTAACTTAATAATTAATTATATTATCGAGCAGGTTTTTTTTTTTTTTTTTTTGGAGCGAGAGAATTTTATAACTAAGTGTTTTTTTTTTTTTTTTTTTGGACGAGAGAATTTTATACTAGTGTGACATTAATCCACTCTCTCTTAAAAAGAGATGAAAAGAGAAGGAACTCTCACATGCTGTTATAATTGGTATTTTCAGTATTTTACTTCACGAACATCACAAAACAAACCAGAAATTATAGATCAATTAGGATCACCATAGAACAGAAACACACCAATCGACAAAAGGGCATGGGAGGAAAGATATTACTCTTTACTATATGGAAACAATTGTATATTAAATAAATGTCACGACATCAACTGCGACGAGGTATCTCCTTGTTATATGACTTTTGCTTCAAAGCCTCTTCATTTTAAGAATGAGGTGTGTCCACATTATAAAGGGTAGCCACACCTTCTTGGATCTTTTGTGAAGAATGGATGTCTCAGAGCTTCCCTGGCTTTGAGTCGATCTGCTGGATCATATCGTAAGAGCCCTTGCAAGAGATCAATCAAATCACCAGCAGAATGATCTACATGCTGCATGATTAGGTTCTGCCAGAAAAAAATAAATGAAACTTCTTGCATAAGGAGATGGAGAGAGAAATAGATAATGGAGAATACAGAAAAGAATGGAGACACAAAAAGAATAAAAAATGGAGGGGAAAAAACTAAGTAAACCTAATCTATAGAAAATGCTAAAAATCAATGTTTCTATATGAAAAACAGAACCAATCAACGTTCCAGAAAAGAATCAGTGTTATAAAGTTGGTTCTTTAGCAAGAAAATAGCACAAGATAAAAGGATTAGATTGGGTAGCATTTTACAGAGATAGAGTGCCCAAAGTTAGCTGTTTTCAAGATAGATAAATTAAGGAAGATAATCCTGACAACTAAAGAAATTTAAACAACTCTAGATGCAAGACTATCCGTGTATCACAGATGAACAAAATGTTCCAAGATTGATGTTAACTCTACAAGTAAATTAAACGAGACAAGTTTTAAACAAACTACCGGCAGTCGAGGCAATTTCCAAACTGCTCTCATGCTTTCTCTTGAAGTTGCACCCTCAGGCCAATCTAATCGTGTACCTCTCCTGAAATATTTCTCAGCACGACGGCTGCAACAACAGAGGGCATAATATGAGGTGCTCTTTCGGAAAGAAGTTACGGAACAAGTCAACAAACAAACATAAAGGAAGATAAAAGCAATCTCTCTTACTCAGCTCTGACCATCATATGTTGTGGCAGTGGCCCTAAAACCCTTTCCATCATGGCAAGATGTTCTAAGTTCTCATGTGTTTGAAAAAGGGCCTCACCCTAATCACAGAAAAAAAACATGAATAATACAAGTTAGACATAAACAAGCAGAACAGCAAGTGAATTATCAAAATATTGAATCATGCTTCTAACTTCTCACTGAAGCAACAGTTCTCAAAGCATCCTATTTAGTAGCATGATAACATGCCTGACAAACCTCACATCAATTAAACTGTTCAAATGATACATAGTTTTGTAATTGGCTAATTGCATTAACCAGAGAGATGATACTAACCTTAACACTACATTTCAAATGACTGAAAATATTTTTCCCTTTGTTTTTTTTTTTTTTTTACCAATGAAATCCTATCTAATGATTGCAACATCAGAACCTCAAACACTTTCTCTACATTTAAGTACCAGAATCATTATACATCATAACAAATAAACTAGTAAAAGAGTTCCCATATAAAATGAAAGCTAATGGAAGGCAATATAAACTAAATGTTAAGTTACTTACAGAGCATAATTCAACAAGTATGCAACCAACACTCCATAAATCACAAGGATAGTTCCATCCAAGTCCTGCAGTAAGTATCCAATTGTTGGAAAGAGACATGTATAAAAACATCAACCACCATAGCTCCACGATAGTTACCTAAGATAACCTCTGGTGCACGATAATGGCGCGTTGACACCACATAACTGTGATCCTGATGTTCAAATGTAGTACTCCCAAAATCAATGAGCTTAATAGCACTTGATTTTGGCAGATTCTGGAAATAGGAGCCATCTTTTGTGGACCGTGAAAGAAACTGATTCATGAAGCAAGAAAATGTAAAAAGAAACAACAGAACTATCAGATGAATTGCATCAGCACCAAAAAAAACAAGAAAAAGAAAGACAAAGAAAGAAAAAGGGAAATCAGATATGGCTTTGACTGTGGGTCAAAAATTTAGGAAAAAAAAAAAAAGAAAGAAAGATCCATCTATCCTACTAGCTAGGGACTGTAATGATTAATTTAAATAATAAAATATATAGAGGACCAGGTGTATATTTTAACATCAGTTACAAATTAAAACAAATATGCCACCAGCCACAATATTATCTAACATAAGAAAGGTGGGAAGAGGGAAAGCTTGCACCTCATCTCCAAACCATCCTAAAGAAGGAAATACAATCACCAAATAGTTATTAAAATATTGGAACATCCAAGCAAGAAAGGAAGATATAAGGTCTTCAAAGGGTATAAGCTCCTGTAAAATTACTTAGTTTTACCTCATTTATCTCACAAAGCCTCAATCATGCATACACTGATATGTAGAATACGTCATAACAGCATGCATAATAAAAATAAGAAAACTGGGGTAACCTATAATAAATGTTACCTTATAATCTGGAACTTTGATATATTCAGAGGAAACAAGTAGAATATTCTCAGGCTTCAAATCTGTGTGAATCAACCGCAATTCATGCATAACTGCAAACAAAATGAACTAATCAACAATCTTTGAGGAAAAAGGTTACCATTATTATCAACCAACTCTGCAGTAGCCTAAAAACAATTACTTTGGCAATCCAAAAGAATATAAGAAAAAATGACAGTGGAGTAACTATTCATGCCCATATCTTGCTTTCTTTAAAGCATCTGAGCATTTAAGTCGATAAAAATAAGATAAAAATGGTACAAGAATTGTCCACACACATGCAACAGACTCCAAAAGTTGTCTGCCAAGCTCCCGAACAAGATCAATGGGAAATGAACGGTAGCTGTTTTTGCGGAGAAAATCGTATAAGCTTGGTCCAAGCTTCTCAAAGACCTGTTGAAACCATTTTTAAATTTATCCGCAAGTTCTTTAACTCACAGAAATTTAGGCATGTAGGAACATGGACTGCCCCTTCAAATTAATCAAATCAGAGGTACTAATAAATACTTACAATACAAATATGATTACGATAGTCAAACCAATTCCGTATTTGCACACAACTGCAAAGAATAAAATTGCTTATACCAAAATCACTTCAAACTTCTACAATGGATAGTGGTGGAAAAATATGCAACATCCTTACCGAGTGCCACCAATGTCGTGCCTGGCAAGCCTCTGTAGGACGTCAATTTCAATCATGGCAGCTTCACGATACTTGTGTATGGAGCGAACAATTTTTATTGCAACGACTTGTTTCTTTTCATTATCAAGACATTCCAAAACTTGCCCAAATGTCCCTGCCAGAATAACCCCAAGGAATTACAGCTAAAGAATGATCACAAGTACTACTCCAGTTATAGTAAAAACGCCAAAATGCATAGCCTATGCCGCCACACCTTGAAAATTTGAAACAGATACAAAAGCATGATATTTTATTCTACGAACTTAAAAGGATTCCACTTCGTAAAAATTCATAAATACATTCAAATGATATATGATCTAGTGAATCAAAACGAAAAAAAGTACCAACCTTCACCCATTTTGCTAAGAATTCTGTCTGCAAGATCCAAGAAAAAGAGAAGATATAAGTAAACGATTATGAGCTCACTTACAGATCTAAATAGAAACACCAGAGTTGAAGTTGACCAAATGAAAATGAAAGAATCAACAGCAAGGAACAAACTCTGCAACTTGTTAGAACCCCCTAGAAAATGAAGTGATTACATAATTTAAGAAATGCTTACAGCGAGGTGTCAAACTCTCGCCAATGGCAAAGACATAATGCCCATCTTTATCATCAGGTCTCCAAGGAGGGGAGCCATGTCGAGGAACGGGAACATCCCTGTAAAACATATTTGGATATGCATAATTGGGAATGGCTACTCCGTTCCCAAAATCCTGCCCATAATACATAGCTGAAAGGACCTGCAGTACACACATGATATAAACAACAGAAATAAACACAAAATTCAGCAAAATCGGAAAAAGAATAATAATTTCCATAAGCAGAAGACATAATTTCAACAAAGCAAAAAGCTCAACATATTGTGTGAGGGAGAGAGATTGAAACCTTGGGAGGAGGAAGAGGAGGAGGAGGCATGTCCCAAGTTAAACGAGGCCTCTTTCGAGGACGTTTATCCATGTTTCTATGTGGCAATTCGATTATCCTCTGCGTCTCCATCTGTCTCAACTCCGATCAATTTGCAGCGAAATCAAAGAACCCTTGGATCCATTTAATTCCGACCCAATTTCGAAATTGAAAAGAAAAACAACAAAGAACAACAGAATTTGCAAAGTTAGAGAGCAATTCAGAAGAAGATTATGAGTTTTTTTTTGAATTTTACGAATGAATTCTGAAACCCTAATAGAATCTGCAAAGCTGAGGAAGGAGCTGTAGAGATAGAGATCTGCAAAGAGGGATTAACCAGAGAGTGGAATCTAACCACGATTAATTTGAATGGGTTAGACTGGGGCCCACATTTTGTTTTTGATTGCTTCTGGGACCACCAGCTCCTTCCTTCATGATTGAAGAGGATCAACAATTTTGGCGTTGCTGTTGCCTTTTTTAGTGGGAAGCGAGTAGGGTGTTGTTGGGCCTATTAGGCCCAAATAATTCAAATTAAGGCCTGCAACCTTGCATCGATTAGACTATAGCCCAAGTTTTATTTTTTTATTTTTAATAAACATAAGCATCAAAACTAAATGAACTCCATAATAGAATTTCCTTCCAAAAAAAAAAAAAAAATCAATAATAGAATAAGAATTGATCTTGATAACCAGTGATGAAAAATGCCTAACATGGTTGTCAATGATGTTCTAAATATTTTATTTTGTGTTTTCTTGAAAGATTCCTTTTCCATTTTATGAATTTTTCAAAGTTTGAAAGAGGAAAATGATTTTAATTAAAGCTAGAAGTTAAGTTATGCATACACGACATTAGAAACCTAATTATGGAGATAAAACAATTTTATGATTACTAAACTAAATTTTGGGTTAGATAAAGAGTGACTTATATTATAAGAATTATTGAATTAATTGATAACAATTATAAATAAATTGATTGGCTAGATTTTATTATATTTTATAGAATCGATAAATCTTAAATCGAGACGACAAACCTTAAATCAAACTATAAAAAATTGTTACTGAGGGATTATAAACGTGGTATGAGATTGAGAACCGATTGACGATGGAGAATGGAAAATGTTGATATGAAATAAATGTTTATTTTGATTTGATCCTCAAAGTTGCCTTTTTAGATGGCAAAATTAAAGGTAGAGATTACCCACAAGCAATTACAACACAATAGTTCTCGTATTAATATTATTAAAGGGTTTGACATTCTTAGAGATGATTACAATATAAAAAAAAAAAAAAGCATTCGAGTACATTGATCCATAGCATTTTATTTTTAAATTTTGGTAACATTTAATTTGTTTTAATAGAATTTTTATACTTATAGCTATGGTTTATTCCTTAATTTTTATTCCTTTTTTGACCACCGAGTGAAGTCTATGCTTCCCATGTCTGGAATGCTGCCATGACCAAAGAAAATTTTACATTAGATTAGTGGAAATTAGAAAAAATTTAGATACAATATAATAATAAAATAGAATTTGACAAAGCATTCAAAGAATTGCATAATTTCTAACAATTAAAAGAAAAATCTTGTAAAAAACCTATTGAGAAAAAGATTTTTTTTATATTTATTAAAAAACATAAAACTCCTGTACTTTTTCAATGCTACGAGTAAATTTTACCTGCATGAAAATCAATACTAACCTTTGGTAGAAAGAGCCCAATTGTTGTCAGCGCCAACATGCCAAGAAAAATAGCCAAGTAATCCTTTTCCTTTAGCATATGAAACCTTTGTCGAAATACTCTGTGTATCATCGTATCCAATCCATATTGTTCCATTGTAGCAATAATCAGTAACAACAGTGGCATTAAAAACTTTTGTAGCACTTGTTTGGGTTATATACTGTATGATCTTGTTATAACGTATTGATCCATCTCCCGCAAGACCAGCTCCATTAGCTGGAGCAAAAAGTCCATGGTTGTTAGCATTTACAAGACGCCATGACCAGCCATAGAAAGGAAATCCTAAAACTATTTTCTTTGCTGATAAACCAGCTTGAATCCAAGATTTAACCCCATTATCTCCACTTTCTTGATGACCAGGATTGTATAATGCAGCGGGTGGTCCAGTACTAGATGGAGACCAACCAGGACCATAGAAATCGTAAGCCATTAAGTTTATCCAATCCAAGCTATTTGATATAGCTTGAATTGGATATGATACAGATGGTGAGTAGTAATAAGATAAGTAAAGAACTGCAGCAGATAAAAGTAATGGTGACTGGCCGGAGTTTTGAGCCTCAGTGCCTACAGCGGCTCTCCACTCAGTAACAAGAGAAGCAAAATTAGTCATTTGTGTAGAATTAGAAGGGTATTCCCAATCAAGATCAAGGCCATGAAAATTGTAAGATCTTGCTAACTTTATTGATGCATCGATGAATGATTTTCTAGAACTGGGTTGGCTAGCCATTGAAGCAAAAGTGTTAACATTGGCACCTCCACCGCCAATGGACAAAAGGGTTTTTATCGAGGGGTTCTTTTGTTTGACTGTTTGTGTGAAAGTAGAGAATTGGGGTTGGTTTGAGGATGAGATAGTAACTTGATAGGTTTGAGAATTAACATCAGCAAATGCACAGAAAAGGTGAGTGAAAAGTGTAGAGTTTATGTCAGAAACTGGAAAACCACTTCCTGGAAACCAGTAGCTTCCTTTGACAACCGTTGTTTGTTCAATGGAGAAGTGGAATTGGAAGACAAAAAGAAGGGTGGAAATTAAAAAACAAAGGGTTTTGGATGCCATTGATGAAGACTTTTGAGAGAGCTAAGAAAGATGGATTGGATACATGTACATCTATCTTTATTTATAGTCTTAATGGTTTCTTCAATGTAATTCAACATTTGACTCGTTTTTTTTTTTTCTTTTTTTTATTAGTATTACTAAGGGTATCCTCTTATCGTCTGTTTAACAATTGAACAAGAGACTGATCTCTTTTGGACCGAAGAATGATCATGTTAAATCATCTCCAAGCTAGCAATTCTATAACTCGATCTTGTTAATATGAGGATATAATTTAGTATATTTTTTTTTTCCTTTTTAATTTGTATGGAACATATAGGTAGAAAGAACATTGTGTACTGTAGCTATATCACAAGAGTAATCTTCCTTTTTAACATTTACTATATACATTATTGATAGCTTTTTTTTATAGATGATAAAAATTTAGTACCTCTCAATCTTTTTCATATTCTTTATACTACCTTCGTTATATAATAATTGTCACATTTGAGAATATAGTTTGTTCAAAATACTTCTCATATTTATGGTTTTAAGGAGTGATAAATTTTTTTTTCCGTATTAACCCTCTGTATATAACCAATAATTATTGCTTCAATTCTTCAAAAAGTTTCTCTATCTTTATTTATTGTTACCTTTTTGTATTCCCAAAATCTCTCTACCACAACTATTGGACAAACATGAGAATTGAAAAGTCTAAAATTTAATTTGGTATTTAGATATATTAAATTAGAGTAATATAGTCAATTTACTTGTGAAAACAAAATTTAATTCCATATTGTCAAGTCAAGGTGTTGGCAAGCAAAAAACCTCTCTTCTCTTCTTGCACCGGTGAGCTCTCACACGTAGCCACCTCCTTCCTTTTTTTTGTTTGGTTTTTTTGCAAATAATCCTCAGATATGTTTATAGATCTGAGTTATTGTTGCCCTTATATTAGGATTTATTGCTACCCATATATTAAGATTTTATCCTCAAATCTAGTTTTGAGTTATTGTTATCACTATTATGGTGATTTTGTCTAGCATCCTTTATTATTTAGATAGTTATGTAGAAAGAAGTGCAAATCTCTTCTCCAATGGAAGGAAGAAATTCGAAAGTAATCAGATCAGACTTGTAGAAAGACTATGGAGTCAGTGGCCATAAATAGCCATCAAATAAAGTAAGCGATCTCTTATAGCACAAATATTATGCTCTGTCAACTCGATCAGATACATCAAATCAAGATTGTGTTTTTTTATTCTTTGTATAAGTGGTTTACTATTATGCTTTTTATATAAAAATATAGAAATATATTGATCTGTATCTCATATCTGTATACAATTTCTAATTAATGAAATTCTAGTTTGATTTTTCTCGTATAGTCAGTTTACTTAATAATTTATCATAACCTAAATAAATTTAATGGCTTTTTTAAGGATGTGAAATTTTAGACGTGATAAGTACTTCCTATGTCCCAAAATATAAGTCATTTAAGGATTTTGCACAATGATTAAAGAAGTAATTAATTCTTCTAGATTATAATAGAATCCAAGGTAGTTGGACCATATTATTCTTCATCTCAAAACCAACAGTTACTTGTGAAAGTATTATTATATCTAATATAAATAAGAGTAACATCGGAAGAATATAATTTATTACTCCTTAAAATACTCATAATAATTTATATTTTCGGACAAAATAATAATCCAAAAATGACTTATATTTAGAAATAGATGGAGTATTATAGAACAGATGTAGTAGAATATGAGAATTGCAGCATTTGGCTTGTCATTAAAGAGGAGGTGAAAAATGAATGTTGAATTTATTTATTTACATTTTGCAAGTTTTCGTTGAATTTTCTACTAAAATGTATAAAGGCCATTAAATGACAAATTTATGGACAACGGCTCCGTTCATTTAAGTGAAATTAAATGCTTTTCTTTTTTATTTATTTGAAGCATAGAGAGGTCCATGAAAACAAGAAATGGTCATATATTGAGCATTTAGTATGACAAAGAAAGTTTGATTGACTTTTCATAGCTTGGTAGTCCAGAGATTTTGCATTTTGTAACAATTTTAAACGTTTTCCATGATATTGCACACTAAGATATAACCCAGTAGATATACGGGCTAACAATAGATCCAGATTCGAATCTTCTTTTTTCAATTAAAAAAAAATGTTTTCGATAATATTTATTGAGGCGTGTTTCAAATAATTTGTGCATGGTGTCTCATCTCTTATACAGTAAAAAAAAAAAATCAAAATTCATATATTAATACATTTTTTTTATTAACATATAATGATAGAATTTAAACCACAAAAAATTTAGTTTATCCAGAGGCTAAGACCTTCATTTGACAATGAAAATTGGTTTAAACATATCATATTTATACATCTGTATAATTTAATGTATAACAATTTTTTTTCAATTTTTTTTAAATAGATAGGACAGTTAGTTGATACTTATTTCATAAATACTTATATAATTTTTATGATTCTTTTTAAAAAATTTAGATTCATAATTGTATGGTTGAAGATCAAATAGAAGAAAAAATATTATTAAATAAGTGTTATAAATTGCAAATGGATAAAAATAAATAATGACTAATGAATTAATTTTAAAAAAAAAATACAATTTAACTCATTGATATCATTCAGTACATTCATTTAACACATACACACATTTGGTGTTCTAAAATCACATAGTATTGTAATTGCTATTAAAGAGAAAAGAAAGATAACTTTAAAATTCTTGAGTTAGTGTGTTTTGTATTTTATTGAAACTTTACTTTTATTTTTAATATTGAGGGAGGGGATTTTAACAACGAATCTATTAATAGGTCGTAAATGCATTTATTACTGTGCTATATTTTGGTGTGAAGCTTTATTGATTGATATTGCATTTTTCATAAAAGAAAGTAAGCTCTATGTTAAGGATTTTGGTAAAAATGATACTTGTGTTATTAGGCTTAATTTCACTTGTTGGACATGAAGTATACACTTTATCACATACGCTACTGAAATTTTAATTTGTTACGTAAAAAAAAATATTAAAAGTTTATTCGGTAAAATTAACTGTTTTGGTAATTGTCAGTTATTTTAATAGCGTTTAATTGTTAGCTATTTAAATAGTTTTTCATAAAATGCTAAAAATTAAACGTCACATGAATTAACTTTTTATACAATAATACCTTAACATCTAAAATTAATTCAAACACTAAAATACTAAAAGTTACTTAAAAAGTTATTGCCAAACATATATCAAATCTTTAATTTATGTTTAAAGGACATCCATCAAAATAACTCTTTGATATTGAACGGAAAGCTGACATGGAGTATGAAAAATATAAAAAGCAACTATATCAGCCCGCCAAGTTAGACCTCCACTGAATCTCTCTCTCTTTCCCATGTAAAAACCACGCCTGTAAGTCCCATCAAAATCATTTTCTACCAAACAAACTTCACAATCTTCTTTGATAAACTACCCCCATTAACTTTCTTCTTCGATTCATTGCATCTAGGGTTTTAGTTCTTTTGGAGAATCACAAAGAAAAGAAAAGTGAAGGAGAAGTAATTGAGAAGTCGTATCGATTGAAGATGTTTCAGGGTTTTTTCTCCCTTTGTTTTCTAAAGGGTATTCAATACATTTTACTCAATTGCATAGAGATACACGAACTACACAGATGAGGAAGAAAAAACTTACCAAAAATCATGGGCAGAATAGAGAAAATAAGACAAAGCCCGTTAGGCAATTGATGTGGAAATATAAATTAATTGAACTGAAGCTTCGGCTTGCAACATAAGCAATTTAATTGAGTTTTGGCCGGCAATTGGTTTGGTTCGCTTTATTGTTATAAACATAGATGTTCAATTATTTTTGAGAGACATATTGAAGTTTTGAAATGATAAAGGGACACATCCATAAGTTGAGGGACAAGGGCGAAAATAAGCCAATGATAAATGATATTTTCTTACATCAACAATTAGATTATTATTTTAATATTTATAAAGAAAACAATTAAAAATATAGTTTGAATTTTTTTTCCTTTAAAAAAAAAAAAACTGAACGTTCTAAAACTATATAATATAATGGTTATTAAAGAAATTATTTATTTCTCTTAAAGTTGTGTCCTTTGAAATAAAGGATTATGTCCTTTAGAATAAATGATTATATCTTTTAGTTTTTAAGGTTATATCCTTTAGGATGAAGGGTTGTATACTTTAATGTATAAGGTTATGTCTTTTGGATCATATTTCGTATCTTATAAATAGTTTCTTATTTTCTTGGATTATGTAACTAAGATCCCAATACAAGAATTCTCTTTCTCTCTACTCTTTCTATATTCTTTATATTTTTTATATTTTCTATGTTTTATAAAATGTTATCAGCATGAAACTCTAACCAAATTATATGAACTTATTGCAATGATTCTTTGATTTTGTGATATTGCTTTCTTGATGGAATCGGATAAAGAGAGGATAATTTATAGTTTGTGACAACCAAAGTTAAAAGTTGTCTATTTAAGACTACTTACACTTGAAAGGATATTCTATGTATAATTTTACCTCATATATATATTTATATTTGAATTATAAATATAAATTCAATATTGGATTTTATATTTGTTTGGTGATTATATAAAATATAATTCTGAAATCAAATTAATATGCGATTTTTGTTTTATCATGCTAAATCCTGTAAAATTGGATTTGTGACTTTTAATATATATTGAGTATGAATTATTTATCTTTATATGTGGATATCATGTGTCTTTAAGACACAATAAGGAAGAAAATCAATGGATCATTTAAAATTGCACTAAAGCAATAATTTTCTTTCACTAGATAGTTAACAATTAAAAAATCCACTTATTTTATTCGTAAAACGTGAATAATAATTTGTATTTTTGAATATGCTCCTATAGTGGCATCATCGAAAAAAGATATTATAACATATCGATTGTGGATTTTAAATTAGTTTCACTCTTTTTTATATTTAGAAAAAAAAAATTAAGCACTTAATTTACATAATAAGATTTGTTTTCATTCCCTGAAGTGAATGAAATGGTATATCACAATACTGGAGATAAACAAAAATAATGATATATTTATAATCATGATATGGAAGATGTCATGAAATGAAACACTTTCAATTGAATTTATTTCATTCTCTGAAATGAATGCAATAACATATAATATTGGATATGAGTGTGCATAATAACAATTATATACTTGCCATTGAGAATGTTAATAAGATCATATGATTAAATTATTGATCTTTAAAAATGTGGTAACCACAAGTAATCATAAGAAACTTACCACTAGAAGTGGCAAAAGATAATATGACATGTTGATATTGTACCTGTTGTACACAAAAATATGTATATTGATGATATAAATCTCATTGGATTCCAATAGAGCTTCAAAATGCTGCGAATATTCAAAAAAGAAATTTGAAATGAAAGAATTTGAATGTACAAAATTTTGTCCTGTCATGAAGAGTGAACATTTTAGAAATGGAATTTATGTCCATTAATCAATACATATGATCCAACGGATTAAAATGATTGTATATGGATAAAACTCATCCATTAAAGAAACTCATAATTGTGAGGCCATTTAATGAAATAAAGAACTAATTTTGACCTTCAAAAATGATAATGTCCTGAAATACCATAGTACCATACAGAGTATATATCTTAAGGATCATTATACTCATAGTGATTGATATATAATTTACATTTCTTTATTTATGAAAGACGTCACAATTGATGAAGCAAGAGAGTAATATGTCTGATTGAAATTGATACTTTGATATATACAAAGTACATATGGTTTGCTTATATAGAAAACAAGCTCCATAATATTGTAGGGGATAATATTAAAATGTATTATATTTCCTAAAGGAATGATATATTAAAGAAAAAGATTAGTGATGTCTTTATCGGGGGAAGAAAAAAATTTGTAAAACACAAATAATACTGTATTCTTTTTTCTTCACTATAATTTTTTTTCCACTGGGTTTTTCCTAGTTAAATTTTAACGAGGCATATTCTCTGTGTAATGCACATCCAAGAGGGAGCGTTATAAAACTATATAATATAATGGATGTCTATTAAGTTTATTAAAGAAATTATTTATTTCTTTTAAAGTTATATCATTTGAAATAAAGGATAATACCCTTTAGAATGAAAGGTTGTATATTTTAATTTGTAAGGTTATATGTTTTGAATCATATTTTGTATCTTGAAAATAGTTCTTTATTCCCTTAGATTATGTAACTAAGATTCTGCTACAAGAAATCTCTTTCTCTCCACTCTTTCTATATTCTTTATATTCTTCATATTTTCTATATTTTATAAAACTAAAATATATATTTATTTATTAAAATAGAAAATTTTGAAATTTTAATAAAATGAAATGGAATAAAAATTTCCGTTAAAAAAATTTAATGAAATAGAATGGAGTTTAAATTTTAAAATATTTTGAGTACCCAAGTTAGATAAGTTATCTTCTAGCACTGTCGCAACGTAAAAATATTTTTTAGTCATGCTTCAAAGCCTATATTGAACGTTGAACGCCTAACTATCGGTGTTGTTACACACCCAAAGCCCCTCACAGTCTCTGCCATGGCCGCCGTAGCCGCCGCCATTTCTAATTCCTTTACGACATTACCTCACCGTTATTTCACCTCCACTAATCGTTTCCGCTCTCTCTCATTATCTATTTCCACGTCTATTTCTTTGTCCACTATTCAATCTAATTCTCCAAGACCAATCATTTCTTTGAAAAACCCTAACTTTCGCTTACTGGCATCTGCTGCTATGAACGTCGAAGCTCCCGATAAAATTCCTGCTTCTTCTTTTCTTGATCGGAGAGAAAGTGGCATCCTTCATTTTGTCAAGTACCAAGGCCTCGGCAATGACTTCATTTTGGTAAGTTTTCTTTCTTTCTCCCTTCTCTGTTCGGTTCTTGAGGAAATATATGTAACCATAAGAAAAGGAAGTTCGAATTGTTTTTTACTGTGGTGTTTTGTTTCAATTTGATTGTGATGCGTTGAAACGAATAAATAAGTTCATGTATCTGAAATCAATTTCTGGTTTGAGCTCATGATTTCTTTTAAAATTTTTGCTTTTGCAATCTTTAATTAGGTCGATAACAGGGATTCTACGGAGCCTAGGGTTACTCCAGAGCAGGCGGTTAAGCTATGTGATCGGAACTTTGGCATTGGTGCTGATGGAGTGATTTTTGCCATGCCGGGAACAAATGGCACTGATTATTCTATGAGGATTTTCAATTCAGATGGTAGTGAGCCAGAGATGTGTGGTAATGGGGTACGGTGCTTTGCCAGGTTCATTGCTGAGCTAGAAAATTTACAAGGGAAGCAGAGTTTTACTATACATACTGGTGCTGGCTTAATTGTTCCTGAAATTCAAGAAGATGGGAAGGTTAAGGTTGATATGGGTGAACCAATACTTAAGGCATCAGATGTACCTACGAGATTGCCTGCAAATAAAGATGATGCTGTTGTTAAATCAGAGCTAAATGTAGACGGAGAAACCTGGAATGTGACTTGTGTTAGTATGGGAAATCCTCACTGTGTGACTTTTGGGACCAAAGAAAACAAGGTATGTAGTTTAGCCAAGTGAATGAACTAACTTGTGATTTGTTGTCTACTGATCCTTTGGAGGACCTTGCTCATTGGTTCCTGATGCTTATGATCCACGGTTGTCTTTGTCCTTATTGGACAGGATTTGCTGGTTGATAACTTAAATTTAGCTGAGATTGGCCCAAAATTTGAGCATCACGCTGTGTTCCCAGCACGAACAAACACAGGTTAGCTTTTTATGTGGTCAAGATTTGCAACTGGAACAAGTTCTAAAGCTTATGTTGTGATATGCTTAGATTTATAGGCACTGAAAATTTTGTTTTCATGATGCAATAATATAAATTAGTCTCCTCCTTTGTTTATTCCTAGAAATGTTTATTGGATATTGACTTGAATATTGAGATATCGCTAGTCTGCTATTCCATGTAGTTTTGAATTCCATCAAATACTATAGCTCTAAACCGGGCAGAATGGAGTTAATGGATTCATATAGCTGACCTCAACTAGCTTGGTATTAAGTCGTAGTGTTGAGTTTGAAATACATAAAAAAAAAAAAAAAAATTGAAACTTTATCATTTCTTAGCGTATCTCAATCCTTTTACGACAACCTCATGTATAGGGCAATTGAAATGAATCTAAACACTGCTCAATGTTGGGAATTTCATAAATTAAAATCTTAAAACTTGCATTTTACAACTGTCAAATAATATTGCCTCCCCTTTCTCAGGGTAACAAAAACTAGGAGTTAGAGACTGTTTCTCAAAGGTAAAACACCACAAAAAAATCGGAAGGATAGTTGAGGGGAAAAAACAAAGTACATTTTATATATATTTCCAGTTCCAATAAGGTACTACCTGTTGATTTATCAGCTAGAGACTGTGTGTGCATTGGGGGATATGCATGTCCATGTCCATTTCCATGTGCTTGATCACTAGATGCTTATGCATCCATCCTCAACTATTGTAATCTTTAGATCTTGTGGTCTTACTAATGCCTTGTATTATTTTCTAACTTGTTGCAGTTTGACTATTGTGTGTTACTCTTCTAAGAAATTCCATATTAGTAGAATCATATTATTATAGGTCCAGTCTTAGAGAAATTGTGAGGAACGAATATCTTACAACTTTTAATCAAAGAGGCAGAAGGACTGGGAAACCTTCACAGGATTTGTAATCTTTTAAGTATGAATAAGAAAAGGGTGACCCAAGTTTCAAAGCATCCCACATTCGTGGTTTCTGTTAATATACTTTAAGCATGCATAGTAGAAAATTTATTACATATTCAGCACCTTTAAATTTTTGGGTTCTTCCCTGCTGTTGTTCTCTGAACGACGCTACATTATTCCATTATCACAAGCATTTTATCAAATTTAATTTTTAATTTGATCTGCAGAATTTGTGCAAGTTTACTCTCATTCACACCTGAAAATGTGCGTCTGGGAGCGCGGGGCAGGTTAGTTTCTTTGCTACAAACATTTAATTACTTTAGGATCTCAACTTGCATAATTAACAGATTTTTGGTTAGTGGAATGTGCTATGCGGTTTTCATCAATCAATCATTTTTTATGCCTTGACCGGAAAGTTCATTCAGCTACTGTCTAATTGTAGGTGCAACCCTAGCCTGTGGAACGGGCGCTTGTGCAACAGTAGTTGCTGCTGTCCTTGAAGGTCGTGCTGGGAGGGTAAGTTTTCTGATGTGAGCCATTGGAATATTATGGCAAGTCTATATTTTATTGATCAACTATGATTTAGGTCAAAGTAATGTCTGGTTTTGAAAAAGCAATCACACTAAGCAAGCAAATTTTGTTAATCTGATCTGTACGTTTTTTTGTTTTTTTAGAATTTATCGAACCAATTATAAACAAAATTTCCATAACAAAGGCGCTGCCGATGTTTAAATCTTCTTCGGTGTCTGATCATTTAATTTCATGTTTAGTAGTTGCACTCACATTCTCCATATGTTCTTGTTAAACAGAATTGCAGAGTTGACCTACCAGGAGGGCCATTAGAGATTGAGTGGAGGGAAGAAAACAACCATGTATATATGACTGGCCCTGCGGAAGTAGTGTTCTATGGATCAGTGTCCCTCTGATGTGTGCCCTCTAGTTGGGTCAATGGTTTTTGTAATTTGTACTGTTTGCGTTCCTCTATGCCAAGGTTTTCAGACCGGAGGAGATCCAAATTGATAAGAGTATCCTGGTTGTCTGAGCGATTCATGACAAAGTTTGAAAAGTATAAACTTTGCAGATGATTAGTGAATATTATGTTTTTTCTTAACATTTATTTGTGCAAGTTTCGTCTAGAAGTATTTCGAACAAGGTCTAGTAACGTGTCTGACAAGGTAAATTAGTAAGGTGTCTGACAAGGTAAATTCGCACGTATACAAAATCGCAATAAATAATAAAAAATGAGTAAAATTAGTAAGGTGTCTGACAAGGTAAATTTGCACGTATACAAAATCGCAACAAATAATAAAAAATGAGTAAAGTATGTTCTCACAAGGATTGTATATTAAATATAAAAATTGTATTAATTCACTATTATTTAAACGATAATAAGAAGGATAATTGTAAAAATAAAAGAATGAAAGTGAAATAGTAATTGCTGAAAAGAAATCGATTTTTAAAAATTACTAAGGATTTTCACTTTACTCAAATTAATCAATTTTAATAATTCAAGAAGGAGAAATAACTATAAAATCTCTAATAAGTTCTTTCGATATTTTATTAGTTATTTTAACACAATTCAATTACTCACGAGGTAACTAAACATAGATTAAATTATTAAGTTCTTGTGATTATTTAGAAATTCACAAATTAAGGCTTTCAATTTTATGAAAACCTCTAGCTCTCGCATCAAGTTGTTATTCCCATCCATGAAATTTATTATTATGTTTATATCAAAAACCCTTTTTGACAGTGATTAATAAAATAAAAACTATTTAACTTTTGCATCAAGTTGTTCTTCTCATGAAATTTATTATCCTATTTATATCAAAACCCTTTTCTCGATAGTGATTAATAAAATAAATTAATTCATTGGAGAAACTCTGCTTGAAAATATTAAGATCAACAATAAATTTTACTTGATAAAGAAAATCAAATCTAATGTTGTAAACTTTAGTTGAATTTAAGCTACATTAAACTTGTAAACAATCTCATAATGAATAATAAACAAGAAAAGAGTTTAGAAATAAAAACTAGTCAACAATAGACTTGAGGGGCTTCCTTGAATATTAACACTAACTTGAATACTCGAAGTCTTAAAGAGAAAGAAACTATGTAGAAAACAATACAACAAAAGATAAAAATAAACTAGCCGGTCTCTCTCTTTATATAAACTTTTTGAAATATTTTCAAATTCATTGAGAAAAGTGAATCTTTATTAAGGAAGAAATCTTTTGGAGATAAGAAACTATTTGAGCTTTGTATTTCTTCCCAATTAGGATTCTTCCAGCGTTTAAATAGGATTCAAGCTTGATAAGTCACGTCATAAGATCTTCATATAAGTCCATGCAGGCAGCACGGGCTAAATCTAGAATTTTCGCCCAAGTTGAACTCAGTAAAGTAGCACGGGATGCTGGATAGCACGCCCTGCCCATACTAATGTCTGTCTCTCCTTTGATTTTGCCTTGGAGAAAGCACAGGGTGTTGTGTAGCATGCCTGCCTGTACTTCTTGCTGAAAGTTATGGACAATTGATTGCTTACAATCCTCTCTTTGCATTTTTTGTGATTTCTTATAAAAATTCTGAAACAATTCCTTAAGATGAAGTGAAATCTGATTCGACAAAGTCTTATTGTAAAACATGAATAAATTTAACTAAAATAAAATAAATTAAGCAAAACTTAAAGAGAGATCTTAGATTAAAAAAAATATACTCAAAATAATTATAAAAATAAAACCTATCAGTGGCTACATGATTTACAAGTTGAACTGTTAAACTATATATGCTTATATAGTAAAGAAGAAACAAAAGAGTATGAAAGCTTGAATATCTTTCTAGTCTGAAACTTACATACATAAGCTCATTAAATAGAGCATAACAAAACAGAGTGTTACTAGAAAATAGAAACTTAAGCTATCAATCACTAAAGATATGGTAGATATATTAACAGCAAAAGTATGAGAGATATGCTGTCAACAAACTCCTTATAACTAGGAACAAGAAAAACAAACAAATAAACTTATTTCTTAACATTATTCCTCCCTTAAACTGATGTTCTCAAACAATCAGTTTATATAGGTTTAATCTTCCACTGTGCAGACACCAAGAAACCTTCTGAGCTTGACAAAAGGAGCTGCTTTGAGAGACTTAGTAAATATATTAGCAAACTAATCTTCACTTCTGCAGTACACCATTTGAATTATTCCTTCTTTGCTGAGATCTCTTAAAAAATGAAATTTCACATCAATATGTTTGCTTCTCCCATGCAAAACTGGATTTTTAGACAACCTTATGGCAAAACTATTGTCACAATAAATCATAGTTCCTTCTTGTTGCTTAAAATTCAGATCAGCAATGTTTCTCAACCAAATAGCTTGTGAAGCACAAGAAGTAGCAGCCACAAATTCAGCTTCAGTTGTTGATAATGTGACAATTGGTTGTTTCTTTGTTGACCAAGAGATTGCGCCTGAACTCAGTATAAAAACATAACCCGAAGTTCTCTTTCGATCATCCAAATCTCCAGCATAATCACTATCAGTGAATCCAATCAATTCTGATTTTCCTCCCTTTTTGTAAAACACTCCAAAATCAATTGTACCTTTTAGGTAGCGTAGGATCCTCTTTGCCGCTAGAAGATGTAATTCTGTGGGGTTTTTCATGTATCTGCTGATAAGACTTACAGCACGCATAATGTCTGGTCTTGTTGTTGTCAAATACATCAAACTTCCAACGATTTGTTTGAAAAGAGTGCAATCAATCTTCTTTCCATCTTGATCTTTTGTGAGCTTCAACCCAACATTTGATGGTGTGGTGACAGGATTGCAATTTCCCGTTTGAAATCTTTCTAATGTCTCTAACATACTTCTTTTGAGAAATAAATATTCCAGCAGTAGATTGCACTACTTCTATGCCAAGAAAATAATGCAACCTTCCAAGATCAGACATGTCAAACTCAAGCATCATGGACCTTTTAAAATTCTCAAACATATCACCATCATTTCCAGTATAAATTAAATCATCTACATATAAGCATACAAATAACATTTTTCCTCCATCTCCACACTTTATGTAAAGAGTAAGCTTATATGGGCATTTTCGAAAACCTTCCCTTTGAAAATATGCATCTATACAACTATACCAAGCTCTTGGTGCTTGCTTAAGTCCGTATAAAGCCTTTTTTAATCTGTAAACTTTATGCTCTTCACCAACTTTAATGTAACCAGGTGGTTGTTCGATAAATACCTGTTCTTATAAGTCTCCATGCAAAAAAGCTGACTTTACATCTAACTGGTAAATGGGCCATGAGTTTTGAGCAGCCATGAGTTTTGAGCAGCCATTGCAATCACTAATCTGATGGTATCAAGTCTTACTACAGAAGCAAAGACTTCTTTATAATCTACACCAAATTCTTGCTTGTAGCCTTTCGCCACGAGCCGTGCTTTGTATTTATCAACTTCTCCGTTCTCCTTCAATTTGGTTTTATAAACCCATTTGACACCAATTTTTTTGTGTCCAGTAGGAAGATCAGAAATTTCCCATGTATCATTTTTTTCAATTGCAGCTATTTCATGATCCATTGCTTTTCGCCATTTTTCATCTTTGACAGCACTTTCAAAATTTGTTGGATCACAATCTAAAAAATAGAGCAAGATAGGTGAGAGGATCTTCAGAATTGTCAATTCCTATTACCTCATAGTCTGACATCCAAGCTGGCCTTTTTTGAACATGTTGTGAACGCGAATTTGTTGGATTTTCAGCTTCCTCCTCCATAATTGGCGTAACATCAGAATTAGGAACATCATCATTTTGGGAATTTCCAGAAACAGCAGTAGGAACTTCTTCATCATTTTCTCCATCAAAGTTGGTTGAAATTTGTACTTGAGTGGCACCTTTGTCCCATGACCAGAAACTATTTTCATCAAAAACTAAATCTCGGCTAATGATTATTTTCTTAGTGTTAGGATTATAAAGTTTATGGGCTTTTGATTGATCACTAACACCAAGAAAAATACATTTCTCCCCTTTGTCATCTAGCTTCTTTCTCTTTTGATCAGGAATATGTGCATATGCAATGCCCCCAAATATTTTAAAGTGATCTACAGTTGGTCTTTGTCCCCTCCAAGCTTCTTCCGTTGTCTTGTTTTTAACTGCAAAAGTGCGACTTCTATTCAGAATTTGAATGCTCCAATTGACGGCTTTAGGCCAGAAATTCTTGGGAACACAACCGCTTTTTAGAAGACTTCGCACCATATTCATAATTGTGCGATTTTTCCTTTCACAAACTCCATTTTGCTGAGGTGAATAGGCTGCTGTTAGCTGTCTCTTTATTCCATGAAGCTCACAAAAATTTACAAATTCATGTGAGTTATATTCACCCCCACGGTCTGTTCGAAGAGCTTTTATTGGACTTCCAACCTCCTTCTCAACAAGAACTTTAAAGCTTTTAAAAGCTTCAAGAGCTTCAGATTTTTCCTGCAAAAAATACACCTAGATTTTCCGTGTATTATCATCGATGAAGGTAATTACCTAACGTTTAACTCCATTGGAACATGGTGTTATTGGACCACAAATGTCGGAGTGAACAAGTTCCAGAACAGCTTTTGCTCTCTTTAATTTTCCTTGTGGAAATGAATTACGATGTTGTTAGCTCATGACACAGTCTTCACAAGTTTGAGAAGGTGGTGAAATTTGAGGAAGGCCAGTCACCATGTTCTTTTGCTGCAGGGTCTTTAATCCACCAAAATTTAGATGTCCTTAGCAAAAATTCGACAACCAAGCTTCATCTCCTTGTTTCACCAAAAAACATGAAAGAATAACATGATTCAAATGAAGAGGAAACATTCTATTTGCTGTCATTTTAACCTCAGCAATTAAGCCTAGATTATCATCAAGAAGTCGGCATACTCCATTCTTAATTTGAATCTCATACCCCTTCTCTTGCAATTGACCAATACTGAGAAGATTAGTCTTTAAATCTGGAACATAAAGGACATCAGAGATTTTTTTAGTAACATTCCTTCTAGTTTGAATAGTTACCTGACCCTTTCCCATGATTGAGACTCTAGAATTATTTCCAAATTTCACCGAGTCTCGGTATGTTTTATCCAAAATGGAGAATGCACACTTGTTTCCACTCATATGGTTGCTGCATGCAGTATCAAGATACCAAATATTTTGTTTAGTATCCTCCTCTGTCTGATTTGATGCTTGGTAGGCCATGAGAAGAGTGGTTTCAGATTCCTCTTCCTTTTCTGCAAAGTTAGACTGTCTTCCACCATCTTTATTCAAATTGGTTCGACATTCCGATTGGTAATGGCCATACCTGTGACATCTATAGCATTCAACTTTAGATTTGTCGACGAACTTTGGCTTTGAATGGTCATCATCTCTCCCTCTTTCTTGAAAAGAATTATCTTCAAATTTTTTATATGAGTGCCACCCTCTGCCATTGTTGTAGCTTCTGCCTCTTCCTCTGGCTCAACCTCAGCCTCTACCTCTTTCGTGAGCACCTCCTCTTGACACTGAAGAGTGATTGCTGGATGAGACATGTAAGGCTTGCTCCTCAGTGTGTTGGCTATTCATTTTTTACTCATGAACTAGTAATGAGCTTTGCAATTCATCAATAGAAAGATCACTAGTATCTTTGGTTTCCTCAATTGAACAAACATAGTTGAATTTTGAAGTATGGTGCGTAGAATTTTCTCAACAATAGTGATATCTTCCATCTTTTCTCCATGTATACGCATCTTATTTACTATTGCCATAGTCCGTGAGAAGTAATCTAAAACAGATTCTCCTGTCATCATTTTTAATGTTTCAAAATCTGCACGAAGTGCTTGCAGCTGTGCCTTCTTTGCCTTTGATGTCCCTTGATACTTCCTTTTCATAGAATCCCAAATTTGCTTGGAAGTGTCTTTACTAAGAATGGTTTCAAGGATTGAGCGATCAATAGCTTGGAAAAGATAACTTTTTGCCTTGAGATCTTTTAATTTCAGTGCCTCAAGCTTTGTCTTTTGAGCATCTGTTAGCACAACACCTGCTGCTAGTTCTGCTACCCCAGACTCAACAACTGCCCAATATTCTTTGGACCTTAAGAAATTTTCCATAAGCATGTTCCAGTGATCATAGTGACCATCAAAGCGAGGAATGGCTGGTTGAACAAAATTTTCTGCAGCCATGTGTTATCTCTTTTGCTACTGCAAATTCTCTAATTTCACTCCCTTACGTGTTTCACTCGAACCTCACGTATTTAACTCAAGCTCTGGTACCACTGTTAAACTATATATGCTTATATAGTAAAGAAGAAACAAAAGAGTATGAAAGCTTGAATATCTTTCTAGTCTGAAACTGACATACATAAGCTCATTAAATACAGCATAACATAACAGAGTGCAGCTAGAAAATAGGAACTTAAGCTATCAATCACTAAAGATATGGTAGATATATTAACAGCAAAAGTATGAGAGATATGCTGTCAACAAACTCCTTATAACTAGGAACAAGAAAAACAAACAAATAAACTTATTTCTTAACATAACTCCTTTGAAGTTAAACACAATTCAGAATGTCAAAGTCAGAATTTGATTAATGAAAATTTTGATTCATTTTGAAATAACTTTGTGTGCCTTTCTTGTCAAAAGGCTTCTATACGTTGGTGATATGGTATAACCTTTTAGCTATGCCTTGCTTTTACGAAAGCTAACTAAATTGACCCCCCCTTTCTACATATAAACACGAACATGTTTGAGCTTTAGGATGTTTCTGGGGAGAAAGAACCCTAATGTACCTACTGTTATCTGTCTTACAAATTTTCAGACATTTAGCTGGTAATGGAAAGAAAGATATATTGTTTTGGGATGACAGCATATTTGATACCATATGCTAGATTTAATATGCTTTGTCTTTAAGATTATAGATCAGCATAACTCAACTACTCTGGTCTCACAGCATATTTGATACAAAAGCCAGATTATATAGATCAGATTCATTACAGTTAGAACAAGTTCAATTCTCAATCAATAATCATATGAGTGAATGTTGAACCTGAAATCTTTTTGCTCTAGGGTCTCAATTTTAATTACTAGGCTTAAAACCATGGCTACGTAGTAGCAATTTCATTTTGTTTTTCTTTTCCCTTTTTGCCAATGATATTATGATAATAACATTATATATTACAATGAAATTAAAAAGACTTCAAACTCAACACAATTAGAAATTAATTATCCAAGTCCAAACCCATTGAGAAGAACTCATAATGGGTGTGTATAATTATTTGATTACAAGCAGCGGAAAGAGCGATTGAACTTGAAATCTTTTAATCGTAAGACAACACTCATTATTTGTGCAATTTCATCTTTATTTAAAAGTAACCAATTCAAGTTTAATTCATCTCTATGTTTCAAAATCTACCAATAACTAAATACTTTTAGCCATTGATCATAAAATTATAAATTTGTTTTTTAGGTACTTTCAATATTTTAAATAAATTTTACTTTGATCTTCGATATTTAAAATATAATTATACTTCTTGAATTATTATATTTTAAAATTAGTTAGTGCCTTAAACTCTTGTACATTTCACGATATTAGTGTCATAATCAATATGGCTAATTTTCAAACCTAGAATCAAAGTGTATCTTAGAGCAAATATTAAAAAGTTCTCTTTGCAATTAAAGTGTATCCCTTTCTTTTGTTTTTTTTTTTTTTGTCAACAACTCAGAAGCATAGTCCTTTCCGCGAGCTATGCTCCTGAAGCGACCTATTTGAATTTTTAACAGGCGGGACCCACATTTTCAAAAAGGTCCAAAAAGCGCCGGGTGCCCAACGGCTCTCTCCTACCTACATAACATAAACGCAAAGGTAGCCGTTAGAGAAAAAACCCTGATTAGTCATTTGAAAAATAATCAACTGCAATACAGTAAATCCTCGATCCACTCTTACCAAACAGCAGAAGAATCAAAACCAAAAAGCTCTTTCCATTTCTCTCTTTTCAACTTTCTTTCGATCGATCAAAGCTCCCCAGTTAAAGGAGGCAAAAAAGGAACCAAGCTACTTTCTCTCGGCTAAGAAATCAGTCTGTAAGTGCAATTTTTCAGTGTTTCCATTCAGAAGTTGTAAATTTTCAAATTATATTCTTATCTGAAACTCGAAATGATTGATTTTGATGTGCTAATTGCTAATAAATCTGTATTCTTCATGCAGGTTTAAAGCAAAATGATGTCACTGACTCCAGATCAGTTTAGGAAAGTGGGGTTGGGGGTAACCCCATCTCCATCTCCCTTCCTCACACCACGGCCAGAGAGGCGCCGCCCTGATTCGAGGATGGCAGAGTGGAACTGCAATCGTCAGGACAGAGATAAAGAGGTTAATATTCAAGTTCTGCTCCGATGCAGGTATTACTGGATTTTCAATTCGTTACTGGTCCTAAATTTTTAATTTACAACCATTGATTCATTGAACTTGATTTAGATAATTGTGCTGTATAATAAGGAAAAATCCAACTACTTTATACTCTTTTGTAATTCAATATAAGGCCACTAAGTGACGAAGAGCAAAGGACGAACGTTCCCAAAGTGATTTCATGTAATGAACATAAAAGAGAAGTCACTGTTTTGCAAAGTGTAGCTAACAAGCAAGTAGATAGAGTCTTTACTTTTGACAAGGTACGACTCTTTATAAGGTTTTTATATTTGAGACTATTTATATCATATGATCCTCTACAAAGCTTAACTCAATTTTTCATTTTACCTTAAAATGTTGGGTAGGTGTTTGGACCTAAAGCACAACAAAGATCAATATATGATCAAGCCATTATACCAATTGTTAATGAGGTTCTTGACGGTTTCAACTGCACAGTCTTTGCATATGGGCAGACGGGTACTGGAAAAACATATACAATGGAGGGTGGAATGAGAAATAAGGTAAAGGGATATGCGGTTATATATATATATTTTTTAAATCTAGTTTCAAAAAATAAAATATAATACATGTGAATATAGGGTGGGGATTTGCCTGCTGAGGCCGGTGTTATTCCACGAGCTGTTCGCCAAATTTTTGATACACTAGAGGCTCAAAATGCTGATTATAGCATGAAAGTTACATTTTTGGAATTGTACAATGAAGAAATAACTGATTTGCTAGCTCCAGAAGACAACGTGAGATCTACAGAAGATAGGCAAAAGAAACCCATTTCTTTGATGGAGGATGGGAAGGGTTGTGTGGTTGTTAGAGGCCTTGAAGAAGAAGCTGTATATAGTGCAAATGAAATTTACAGTCTATTAGAACGAGGAGCTTCTAAAAGGCGTACAGCAGATACTTTATTAAACAAACGGAGCAGGTCGATGTCGTCTGTAGTTATTTATTTTGATAATGCTATTAAACCATGGATGAGTCTTTTACTGAATTCATTTCATTTCTATTGCAGTCGTTCTCACTCTGTCTTTTCTATTACTGTCCATGTAAAAGAAGCTACTGTTGGAGATGAAGATGTTATCAAGTGTGGCAAGCTCAATCTTGTTGACTTGGCAGGATCAGAAAATATTTCTCGTTCAGGTGCAAGAGAGGTATAATAATATCTAGTAATGGATACAGTCCAATAGGTAGGTGGGTTAAAAATTAGCTTAAATCAAAATTTTAGTCCCAATTTCCACTTGGGAGCTGGCCTCTGAAATGTCTTGTTAAGGTTAGGTATCGTATTATTGCTTGACAATCATTTGCTCTCTGTATCAGCCATTTGAAGTTAAGAAAGTGCTCCATCTTATAGGATTAAGACATACTAGAAATTTTGCCTGGAGTGAAGCTACTGAGTTCTAATTACGAATACTAAGCTTGTTGCTTAGGTTGTGCTGATTTTCTAATAAATTTGAATTAATTATTTAATCTAAGACTATATTGCTCACCATCACTTTAAGGATCCAACTCAAGTCTTAGATTTGGTTAAATGGACAGTAGGCCTATAAGGCACAAGTTTAACGCAGTGTCTTTCATTTTCTTAATATTAGCGGAAGCCTTCACCCCTGGTTGAATATAGACGGAAAAGCTTTTCCTTTTCAATTGGAAGAAGTTGTTTAATAGGCATTGCCAAACTTTTCTTCAGATTAGAGAGTGCTAGCTTAGTTTTTTTTTTTTTTGGATGTCATCTACATTTTTCTAATTTGTTCAGGTCCAACATCAAAATTCCAAATTTGAGACTGTATTTTGTTTTTCACATGTTTGAAGAATATCAAATAAATAATGTCCTGTATTTGGTTTTAGCTTTTTGATAGATTGGAGCAAGTACCAAAATTTGATAAAAATTTCAAATCAAATTTCAGGGACGCGCAAGAGAAGCAGGAGAGATAAACAAGAGCTTACTAACTCTAGGACGTGTTATAAATGCACTTGTGGAACATTCAGCCCATATACCTTACAGGTTCATCTCAATACTTTTTCTATCCAACTCTCTACTGGTTTGGTTATTGTTTGCAAGTCCTGTTTTCTTCCTAATAATTTTCCCCTTGTTTCTATATTTCAATGCAGGGATAGTAAGTTGACAAGGCTATTAAGAGACTCTTTGGGAGGAAAGACTAAAACCTGCATCATTGCTACAATTTCTCCTTCTGCTCATTCTTTGGAAGAAACGCTAAGCACACTAGATTATGCTCACCGTGCTAAAAACATAAAAAACAAACCAGAGGTTTGTCTGGCTCTCCGTCTTCGTTATAATTTTTTGTTTGGTTCTTTTTTATTAATTTGTACCAACGACATAAATTATCTTGCAGGCAAACCAAAAATTGTCGAAGGCTGTGCTGCTCAAGGATCTGTACTTGGAAATTGAGAGAATGAAAGAAGGTATGAGATGCAGTAGCATTTTCATATTGTTGTATTGCTAATAGCAAAGAGAGATTGTTTTTAACAAATTAAATTTATGCAGATGTGAGAGCAGCAAGGGATAAAAATGGTGTTTATGTTCCGCATGACAGATTTGTCCAGGAAGAGGCTGAAAAGAAGGTGGATATTTACTTTGAATTATATGTTTTCGTTATTAGAGCTTGTACGTACTTATTTTTAGTACTTTTTGGCCTAAATAAAACTAATTGGTTGGCGTACTGAAGCTCTAGTCAGAATTGATGCCTCTTCTTTTCAGTCTGAATTTTTCAGCTGTGTTCTATCCCTTTTACTTAGCTTCATTTGTTTGAACTCCAAATGATTCTGTAACCACATGCAGGCTAGAAATGAGAAGATAGAGCAGTTGGAGAATGATCTCAACCTCAGCGAGAAGGTATAACTTGCACCTCTCTTTTTACCCTTCTAATTATGATTGTAGAACCCAATTGATATCCTTCCACCTTGATGCAGCAAGTTGATAAGTTCCGTGAGCTATATCTCACTGAGCAGGAGCAGAAACTTGGCATAGAAAGTGAGCTGAAGGGTTGTAAGGTAATTGTAATTCAAAAATTCGATTGTGTTAGGAAGCTTCTTGCATACATGCATCTAACACTATCAATCTTGTTTTTCTACTTTTTTCAGTTGAATCTAGAGAAAAGTAACAAGGAACTGCTTGACCTCCAAGAGAAACACGAGGTGGCTATTTCAACACTGAAGGAGAAGGAATTCATCATCTCCAAGCTATTATGCTCAGGTTAATCAACCGACTAACCATGTCTGATATCTAGTGCATATTCTTTCCAGCCTTGTTCATAACATTTATCATTATGTAAACAGAAAAGTCTTTAATTGAACGAGCAAAGGAGTTGCGCAGTGATTTACAAACTGCCTCAGAAGACATAACTTCATTGTTTACAAGATTAGGTATGAATGAATCTATCTTATTATACCTTGAATCAATTTTAATCTGCATCTTGATGTGTTTTAGTTCAGAAGGTTTTTAACAATTTGCTGCAGATGAAAATGATCTAGAGCATGCTCAAAAGTAAATTAAAAGAAATATTGTTGAAAAAGTTTATGGTATAGACAAAAAATAATTTCATAAACAAATTGAAAATATAGCTTGAATTAATTGAAGTCCCAATATTTTCTTGCTGTGACTTTTTAACCTTCTTCAATTAATGAGAAATTAAGGGTGCGTTTACTTACAGAAAACAATTTTCTGTTTTCTATCTTAGAAAATGAAAACTAGAAAACACAAAATGGAAAATACGTTCACTTGATAATAACAAAAAATCATATTTTAATTTAACTTCACAAACATTATTTATAACTTTCATAATATAAAATAAATTTAGAAATTTTTTATGTAAAATTTTTTAAATTTTTATTATTGATTATTTATAATAATAATATCATTTTCTATCATTTTGTAATTTTTTAAAAAATAAAGGATATTATGCATTTGTAATAATAAAATTAATTATTTATTAAAATATAAAGGATATTATGCATTTGTAATAATAAAATTAATTATTTATTTAAAGCATAATATAAATTTTTTTTATTTACTATTTATTTTTCAAATTTGAAAATATTTTATAGAAAAAAGTTATGTACAGATATTTATAATTTTAAATGATGAAACATGTTATTTTTAAAAGTGAAAAACAATTGGAAAACATGTCTTTTTTATAAGTTGTTCTTCCAATGAAAATATTTTATAGAAAAAATTATTTACAGATATTATAATTTTAAATATGAACATGTTATTTTTTAAAAGTGAAAAACAATTGGAAAACATGTCTTTTGTTATAAAGTTGTTTTCCAAATTTTAATTAAATTTAGGAAAACTGTTTTCTAGTTTTCCAAATAGAAAACTGATTCATTTAAACACAAAACTCTATTTTTCAATTTTTTTAAAAAACTATTCTAGAAAACTACTCCAGTTTTCTAGAACTGAAGACACCCTAAACTTTCCTATACTCTTTCCTCTATAATTTGTACCCCTCAATATCAACGAAATGGACCTTAACATTTACAATTTCTGGTGCAATTTGCGTACAGCTGCATGTTCAAATTTAACATTTTAACCATCTTGTTTTGGGTTAAAAGTTGCATTCTTGGCTTTTGATTTTTCAAGTAATTAAAAAAAATTAAAATTTCTCTTTGTTTATGCTTTTTTTTTTCTACCTCTTTATCAACAAAAAAAATTTCATGTTGTTTATAAAGTGTATGTTAATTGAAGTATTTGTTTTGAGTTAAGAAGTGCAAATTCTAATGAATAAAGTTCTGAGAGAAGTAAATAATGTAAATAATGCTTCCCTGTACTATCTGGACTCAGCAATAAAATGTTCTATTCCTTACAGATCAGAAAGACAAGATGGAAGCAGAGAATCAAAGACAGATTTTGAACTTTGGTTCTCATTTGGATCAGAGTATAAAAGACCTGCACAAGACCATTCTAGGTTCAATTTCTCAACAGCAGCAACAAATAAGATGCATGGAAGAACATGCCGGATCATTCCTTGCAAGTAAATCTGATGTAAGACACATAACTTTTGCATTTTATCTCCTTTTGGCTCCAACTTTATTATGGGCTGCTGATATATCTCATTGATAAATATCCATTACAACTACAGGCAACAGAAATGTTGGAAGCAAGAATTAAAAAAATGGCCGAGACACATTCATCAGGTGTAGCAGCTTTGAAGGAACTTGCCAATACAATGCAAAGGAAAGCTTCCTCTGACCTAGAGCATATGAATGTTACCGTCTCATCTCAAACCATGGCGGTGGAGCATGTATGTGATCACAGGAAACTAATTGTTTTTCTAAAATTGATATGATAGTGAAAGATCCAGAGTGACTGTGTTCTGCCTTGACAGTTTCTTGCCACTGCTGTATCTGAGGCCAAGGAGGTTATTGAAGACATTCAGAATTCGCTTAATGAGCAAAAACAACTATTAGCTCTATCCGTTCAAAAACAAGAGGAGGTGTTTGTCTTATTTTCTCAAGGTTTCATTTCTGCCTCTACTTGAAAACTTTTATCTAACTTTCCTTAACCTGTGGAAATCAATAGGGATTAAAACGAACTTTGACTTCTTCCCAAGTAATATCAAAGGCAACAATGGACTTTTTCAGTGACCTCCATTGTCAGGCATCAAAGGTCATGACAGCTCTTCGGGAAAGCCAAATCAAAAAAATCAACCAGTTGGCTGATTTTGAGAAAATGTTTAAGGTGAGTGCTATCTATGGAGGTACAAGATACATGATAATATTATATTGACATAGAGGAGACAAGTTTCATGAACTTTTTGGTTTTTCACTTTGGTGAAACAGGAAGAAGCTGCTAGAGAGGAAAAACAAGCATTAGAAAATATTACAAATATATTAGCAGCATTGACATCAAGGAAGACGGCTATGGTTAGTTGCAATCTTTAGGCTATTTTCATTCCAAGTTTTACCAATTTCTAAATACCTTATGCTTGTCATTTTATATTGCCTATTATTATTAGGTATCAGAGGCATCAAGGAATATCCAGGACTTAAGCATACAGGAGACTAGGAGATTTCAACAAGAGATGTCCAGCATCCAGCAAGTTTCCACTGATGCTGAGGAGGAAATAAGTAGATATGTAGAAAAAGTGGAAACACATTTCATAGAAGACACATTTTCGGTGGCTGAATCAAGGGCTGTTATGGAAAATATCCTCCAAGAATGGTATGCCTTCTTAACTGATTATGTTTTTTAAGAGAAGTATATGGCCAGAGCAATTTTGTCAAAAGTTTCGTCTTTATAAGCTTATCTGAAATGCTCATTTTTCATTATCAATGCTTTTCATGGTATATAGCTCAAAGAGGGTGGACTACTCTTGCCAACAATGGGAAAATGCTCAATCATACATAAATAATCTCAATAAGAGCAGTGTTCTGGAGATAGAATCTAATGTGAAGTAAGCTATCTTTCCCTATTCTTTTTGAATTTTTCCTTCTTATCTCTCTCCCCTTTCGAAACTTTAATAGAACTAGGAGAGTGACAAAACACAATCTATCAGAACTCACATGAAACCCGATCAAATGAGGGACAACTCAAATTAAAATGAGTGTTACTTGAGAAAATTTTTTTGGATAGAGATTAATAAAAAAAGTCATTTACCTGGTTGCACATGATTACAAGTTTCATTCCATATTTAATCTTTAGAAAATTATACTTGTTAAAGAATTTATTTTCAAACAAATTATACCACAGGTGACTTGATCTAAAACCTGCAATTTCAGCTAAATTTAATATAATAGACAACTGAAGTGACCCAAATCTGCCTGCCAATGTTTGCCACCTTCCTTGTGTTCATTCGTGTTTTTTACGCCACGCCACTGGCTAAAAATGTTTCTTCTGCAGGGAAAATATAAGCGCAAATAATGTTGCACATGAAGAATTTTTATCAGAATCCTCTTCCATGGATACAGAATTTGACTCTAGAACTCGCGATACATTGGCTGCTGTTGATGGTATTTTTTAACTCCTACTATTGCATTGTACTATTGCATTCAATTTGCACTTTTATTAAAGTTAAAATCTTTTACTTGGTAGATTCACTAATGCGAGACCAAGAAAGTAAGAAGGAAATCGAATCCATCACTACACTATGCTTAGATCAGCTCAAGTCAATACAAGAGAACCATAGTCAAAGCATAGCAAATATCAGAAGCACCGCAGAAAAGTGCCTCACAGAAGATTATTTGGTAAGCTGACTTTTATTGAACACGTTTAGGGGAGTCTACACTAAGTGTTGTCGTTTTTAAAATGCTGTATATATGTTTTTTCTGCCTAACAAAGGGTAAATATTAGTATAATTTATGGTGAAGAATTGAGGCTTTGCATTTTCAATAATTTTCTTCTTTTTATCATCTTGAGATATGTTTCCAGCATTAGTTGTATAATTGTATAACAAAGGGTAAACAGATAGTTGTATAATTATGCACAGGTTGATCAGAACAGTGGCTCAACACCTAAAAGGCGAGTTATACCAGTTCCCAGCTTGGCCTCCATTGAGGAGATGAGAACACCTAGTTATGAAAATCTAGAAGATGAGAAGAAGAATTCTGTTAACAAATCATCAAAATGGGGCCATACTGAGAGCAAAATCCCACTGCTTCAAGTAGCAGCATCACCTAATAGAGCTCCTTTTGCTGATCTTAACTGAAACTGAAATGGAACATCAGGTTTTAAAAATTTTACACATTGCATGGAAACCAGAGAAGGACAAGTTGGTAGTTGTAGTGAATAGAGATGCTCATCAACTGATGAGAGAAATTAAATCTATCTTAGATTATTAAATGGGATATATATAACTGATGATGGAAAATTTTGAGATGATGCCATTTGCTCATCCAGAATTGGTAGAATTGGTTAGATTAGTTTTTAGATTCTCTGTATTCTATGTTCTTATATGGTTTTAGACTCTATGTATTCTATATCATTGTATTTCTAACTTTAGATTGATTGTGTTTGGAATAAAGTGAAGATGAAAATTTCGATTTTCATATCTTAAGTGTATCATTTTAGTTCATATTGTTTAATGCAAGACTCGTTTTGAATATTGGGAGAAAAGACCCAAGTGAAGAATTGCATTGCCATTAGACTAAGAGTATTTTTATGTTTTCAAGTGACAGACTTGTAATATCTGATTGTTTATGAACTTTATTATTTCTGGAAAAATTTAATTCTCACCTAATTAATTTTGTAGATCTTAAACTTGCTGAAAAAAAAAAGGAATATGAGAAGAAAGAAATGCAAATTTTTTTTAAAAAGAAAGAAAAAGTTCAATTCTATTTATTGTACATGCAAAATCTCACATAATTAAAATTATTTGATGTGATGAAATTGTTTAGCATGTTGAATATTTTATATTGATTGATTAGGATTGTTTTAATCGGAATAAATCATGTAAAATTCAATTCTATTTCATCATTACCAATTTGATGAGATTGAAATATGTTTAAGGTTTTGAGATGGAAATTTTAAAATTTGAATCTCGGTGTCCACTCATAAATGTTAAAATCATGCCTTTTAAAAAAATATTTTTGATATGGTTTGGTTGGTCTTCTTACGAGTAAGTTCGGTTGTGGATTTATACCGAAATTTTTATTAGTTTGATTAGATTTTATAATTAGATTTTATAAAAACCAATCAATTTGCACACCAAAGTATAATCTAATAGTAAGTGCATATACGACTCGGCAATAGATTCGGGTTTAAATCTTCCCTCTCCCAATACTCAAAAAAAAAAAAAAAAAAAAAAAAAAAAAAATAACAAAAATATTTTATTAGTTAAGTATAGACCAAACCTCAATATTGTGCACACCAAAGTATAACTCCAATAGTAAGGCATTATACGACTCTGGGTGCAACTAGATCGGGTTTAAAATCTTCCTCTCCCAATACTCAAAAAAATAAAAAAAAAAAAAAAAAAAAAAAAACCCAATTAGAAAAAAAAAAAAAAAAAAAAAAAAAAAAAACCAATTAGTTAGATTAATCTAAAAAAATCAAAATGATCTAAAAAATCAATTAAACCGAATCGAGCTGATTCAATTCTGATATCAATTTCACTTTTAAAATTTTCGGTTTGAATTGAACGGACCATTTATAGGTGTTTAGGTTATTAGATTTTTTTTTTTCTTTTAGAAGAGTTAATTTCTAAAGCTAAAAATGGAAACATATATTAAGATTTTATTCGATAATGTGTTTATATTAGTATTTAGATATTGAAAGAGTGAATTATAAAACATTAGTTTCCTTAAAATTTAGTTAAATGCTTTTTTTTTTTAAATTGTTATAACATCTATTATTACAGTTAATATTATCGAGTATGATTAAATCAAAATCAACCCCAAACAATTTGAAATCACCTGCTGATAATTTCCATAGTTAGTTGTAACTCAATTGGCATTCAAAAAAATATCTTGCCAATCCTACGTTTCAGATTCGATACTCTCTTTTATTTCCAAGAAAATTAAGTGTTCAAACTTCAATGGAAAAGTGTGAACTCCACTTGACCAATCATACGTTCGTTGTAAATTGTTGGCTAAATGCCAATATTAATATAGTTTGAAATGTCAAACTTACAGAGTTCTTTTTGCAATCTTGACCAACCACTCAATTTTTCTTTTTTTGATTTGTTAGGTTGCACCAAACCTTACTTATTTGACGTTCCTTTTGGCTAAACTTCCAATTTCTAGTTGTGGATTTATATTGTTGCTTTGCATGCTTTTCCACGTGTCAAATGCGTAGTAAAATCGTTTTTGAAAATCATATAAGAGCTATTCAATTTAATTTCACCTTTTTATAACCACCGATCATAATAAAAATTTTGACTGATCTAAATAAAATTGCTGCTATTACATATTTTGGTCCATTTAGACCTGAATAATATCATTTGGAAATAAATTTCATTCTTCATCCATGCATATCCAATAACGGATAAGAACAGAGACCAAAGCTAAATTTACTTTCACATTTATTTATTTATTTATTTTCCTCAAAATTGCTTTCACATTGTGAGTTAGTAAATATCCATATCCATAGATGACACAGCAGAGAAACTTCTGATTTCTGATGACAAAAAGGCTCTCATCACTATGTTCAAAAGTGTGTATTTTAAATTTTCTTATCATCCTGATATTATAACGTGACACCACTCATATAATCTTTATATTCCTCGTTTTTTTTTTTTAATTATTGCATAAAATATACGAAGAACATGTGATTGTAGATATAGAAAAAAAAAAAAAAAAAGGCTTTGTTAGATATAGAAAAAAAAAAAAAAAAGGCTGAGTATACACCACTAAAGAATGCTTTCTTTCACGATTGATGAGGTTAGTCCAGCAATTGGAATTCTTCTAAAGTAAAAAAAAAAAAAAAAAAAGGCTGAGGTATACACCACTAAAATGCTTTCTTTCACATGATGAGGTTAGTCAGCAATTGGAATCTTCTAAAGTCAAAACTTGGTGCCATTGAAAATGAAACTTCCAAGGAATTGCAAATCGCCGCGCAGGACGACTCCCTCCTTACAATCAGTGCAGCAACCGACCAACCATTACATTTGCATTACATATAGTGAGCGTATGAAGTGACGTGGCACGAAACTCCCATTTTCTTGCGAATTGCATATTTCAGCGTTTTACACTACCGCTAATTATAGGAAACTTAATAGTTTTTTACTTTTCTTTTGTTCCATTCAGACGACACATTTAAAAATCTACTTATCATTAATTATTTTATTTCAATTTGACTCTTGTCTAAATATTTATATTAAATTTCATTTCTATTAAATGATAAACAACAATTTAATCGATTATTCTTATTTTCTTTTAAATTGGGATGACCCAGTTAATTCTTATAAAAAAATAAAATATTATCAAATTTAATAAATCAGAGGGAATTGGATAGCTTAATATGGTTGAACAATGCAAGAATGAGAAGACAAATAAAATCCAGGATTTTTGAGGAGAAATAGACATTTTAATCAACTAAAATGTTCAATTTCCATTGAGTGGGATTCCGAGTAGGAATTCTTATTCCTTAGCCACTCCTAAGTCGTGTTCACCGAGTGTGCGTCTTAATTACAACGTGTAGGTAATAAAAGGACCTTTGAGCAGTAAAATACAGTAATTTAGTTTTTGACCAGTCATTTCCAAGAAATTGCCTAAGCAAAACAATAACATGATGACACGATAGCAAATGAAGGGTAAATTCGTCTTTATAAAAAGTCAAAGAAGCAGTCCTACTTTTCTCGGTACTAAATCGACCGCGCACGCCACACACCACGTTTCTTTGATTCAAACTGCGAACTTTTAAGAACACATGCAATTATTCCTTCAAAGTCAAACTCAACGCCTATAAAACCAAACCAATACCAATGTCTAACCAACAACTCTTCTAATCTAAACCTAAACCCACCATTTCTTTCTCTTCCTTGCTTAGCTTGAACAGAAATCCATGGCCATGAAAAGAAAATTTGCAGAGATTGAAAGCTTAGACATGGCAAAATGTCTTATGCTTCTCTCTCAATCCTTACAAACCAAACCAATTAAGACCAGTACTGAACAAGATGTCTTTGAATGCAAAACTTGTAATAGAAAATTCTCCTCCTTCCAAGCCCTTGGCGGTCACAGAGCAAGCCACAAGAAACCAAGATTGCCGATAATAGCAGAGGACGATAATAGTAATAAAGCTGGAAGTGAAACGACAAAGCGCAAGATGCATGCGTGCTCTATATGTGGTGTAGAGTTTGCATTAGGGCAAGCTTTGGGTGGTCATATGAGAAGACATAGAGCTGTGGCTATGGGGTATGATCATAGTCGTCGTGGAGTTTCGGAGTTGCCGGTTCTAAGGAGATCGAATAGCAGTAAAAGGGTTTTTGGGTTGGATTTGAATCTAACTCCATTGGAAAATGATCTTGAATCGTTGTTTGGGAAGATGGCTCCTAAAGTTGATCCTCTGATTTGATATGTCTATTTCTTTTCCTAACGTGTATTCTTTTATTTTTTTTTATCGATTTTTTTTTGTTAATTTTCAATATTCTTTCATTTGTTCATGTACATTTATTAATCTTAGATTCATAATCAATAGCGAATTTATGTTATGAAAAGGGGATTAATTCATCCCTCTTTTTTTTTTTAATATTCCTTTAGATATACATGTATCTTTCTCAATTTATGTTACATATGTATTGATCTTAAAAAAATTCTTTTTTGGATCCTCTATTATATATAAGTAGCGGTTTGTATAATAATTATATTTTTCATTTTAAATGTAAGATACATATGTTGAGTAAATTATAAAATTAATTTTTTTAGAGGAAAAATGATTAAAATTTTTATTATATATAAAGTCTTGTAGGTATTTAAAATAATTTAAATACTGAATTTTTATTTTTTTAGAGATTTATCTAATTGAAGGTATATAATTAAGAAAATCTATTAAAACATAATAGTTAATTCATCATTGCATAAATATATCTAAATCCTTTGAAATTGCACATACTTAAATCTCTACAAAAATAAACAAAATAAAACTAAGCTAAGCAAAATATAAAATGAAAATGAAAAAACAAAATCAAGCAAACAATTCAAATAAAGTAATGAAATGCCACAATGTTTTTCTTTCAACCCACGAAACATCCTTTCAACCGACAATAAACTGAAGAAGTTAAAGTAAATAACTAAATTAAACTTTTAATAATAGAAATAAATTTAAAAATTTTATAAAAAAAAAAGCAAAATAGAATAATGAACTAAAGGAGAATTTTGAATTTTCTGTTTATATATGACGATATATAAATATTCAAATTATCAATCAACAAAAAACAAAAAACTAAAACCACTAATTTCACATCAACCCAATTCTTTGAAATTTAAATCAAAATAAGAAAAATCACATAAATAGCATTTTTTATGATAAATTCGATATAATCATATAAATAATAAATTGAATTTGAAGATCTTAAATATTATGGACTTGAAAATATTCAGTTCAACATGAGAAAAAAAACTAAATTTGTATCCTTATGATTTACTTAAAAACTGAAAATTATAATTAAACAAATCAAAAGAGAAATAAAAAAAAAGAATATTATTCATCATTTTATCTTATTATTTTTAAACTGTATTTTATAATGTGTATTTTTGAAACACATATTTTTAAAAAAATTATTAAATTTTTAAACGTACTATGTTTGATTTTATTTTATAATGTGTATTTTTGAAACACATATTTTTAAAAAAATTATTAAATTTTTAAACGTACTATGTTTGATTTGAAGTTTAGACTATACAAAAATAGTTTTCAAAAAAAAAAAAAGACTATACAAAAATAAAAGTTTTTATATTTGTAAATTTTATATTTGTAAATTATGAAAATTAAAGATTTAGATATTGTATTATTTTTCTATCACATATTTGATTTCTTATAAAAAAAATAGCATATTTGATTTGAATTTAAAAACTAATAAAATGTAATTGAAATATTTAAATTTTTTATACTACCATAATTGAATGAATTTAAAACTCACAAAAATGAATTAAAAGACAATTCATTGTTGAAAAGTAAATGATGGGAGGAAAAAAGTGGATAAAATAAGAAAAATGCTCAAAATTCACAAAAAAAAAAAAAAAATTAAAACACTCAAAATTTATACGATCTCACTTTTTAGAGGAAGCGTCATGTCAACATTGGAAAAAATTCAATGATCCTCATATATATATATATGGGATCTCATAGTTATAATAATATATATATATATATATTATATATTCTATATATATATGATTTATATATATAATTAATGTATTATATATATATCATATATATATATATATATGATGATTAATTCTTTTTATTTATGGAATTTATTTGTTTTTATACTTTGCAAAAGTATATAATTTAAGTAGAAGTTAACCTCCTTTATATAGCATGATTATCTACATTATATATATATAATTAAATTTATAACATTATGCGACTCAAATATTTTATAGTCTTGATTATCGGATACATATATAATGATGATTAATTCTTTTATTTATGAATTTATTTGTTTTTAACTTTGCAAAATATATAATTAAGTAGAAGTTAACTCTTTTATCGCATGGATTATTACATTATTATATATATAATTAAATTTATTACATTATGGACTCAAATATTTTATGTCTTATATCGTATATAAGTATTCTATGATTTGTTATCATATTATAAATTCATGTTATTTAGTTACATTAATTGCTAATTCAAACTAAATTTCGCATTGATAACCACAAAGTTAACTGGTTAATTTTCACAATCAAATCTTTTTTTTTTTTAACGTAACTTCATAAAACATACATTAGTATATGTAATTCAACTCCATTATAAAAAAAAATATGCCTACTCTTTCATAAAATTATATTCACACATAAATACATGTAAGAGAGAAAAAACTTATTATAACAAATGATCAAATAAAAGGCATTTTCGTCTTTTAACTAAAAATTAATGGTGAAAATATAAAATTTAGATAGCGTACTAAATTGTATTGGAAGATTTTAAATCACTACGATACATTCATATATTTTAGAACAATCAGAGGCAGAATAGTTAATTTAACTAAATTAGAGGACTAGATAGTAATTGACCTATCCTTTGCTCGGATTTTGAGGCCCATTTACAATTGGGCTGGGCACATCCACGCCTAACCCAATTTAAGATAAAAATCAAATAGAACTCATTTTTTTTAGCTATCAGAGGAGGTAAGTAACCAACAGAGGAATAGCTCTAGGCCAAGCAATGCCTCGAAGATCCATGTCTAGCAAGTGCTGAACCGAGACAGGAGGATTAACAAAGTGCTGATGCTACAAATTATCAACTGAGCCGCACGTCATATTGGCCAACCCATCAGCAACTCTATTTGAATTGTTTCTAATCTCGTAAGATAATGAGTTTAAAATCTAGTTAATAATAAATTAATTAAAATAAAAAGATTTCTTCAAACACATATTATTATTGATACTAATGTACCTTCATTAAAATGACTTATTGACTTGCAATTGACAAATGAAAATTTATCTAAGTGAAAAAGACTCGTATCTCTTAAGAAAAATCCGTTTAATTCTTGTGGATGGAGATTATCTCTACTAAAAATGCTTCTCCTGTGAGGGTTTGACACGGGATAAGCATATAAAAGACATCTATTGTCTTAATAGAGTGAACTATAGAATGTTAATATTGTCTTCTTTATTTCATTTTTAGTTTTTGTTGAATTCTTCCAAAATTGCACTAAATACAAAATGGATATATTTTAATTAAGGGCTTTTACTACTATACAAAATTTGTGATTTCTGTATCAGTAAAGAAGTCAGTAATCATTTTACACGTGTTGTGTCTAGCTTTTGCAATTCCAAAAGGAGAGAAGCAAAATCAATCCAAGAACAAGGCACCTAAAAATGAAGTAAATTGAATTCTCTTCTTATATGATATAGAAATCTACTAACGGCTTAACCGGTAGATTTCTATATCTTATTCCTAATAATTAATCCGTAAATAATAAGGCTGTTAGTAGTTGTGATTACGAAGCTATTAAATTATTATTGGTCAGCCATGTGATAGGTGATCCTGTAAAGATGATCCTAGTAATCAATAGTCTCTAGTTACGATTATTAATTGCAAAATGAGTAGATTACTAAATCTTCTTTCTAATAATAAGTCTTTAAACATTAATGACTCTAGTTCTAGCTTTAGTGATCTCAATACTCAAGAGATGAATATCGCTCATGAAAAGAATCAGCTACATAATTGGTCTATCCCAAAACATGATGTTAATACTATTTACAAAATTGGTTCATTTGATTTTCTTTCTGATTATTCAAACCGAACAATATGTTTCATTAAGCCATATGCATGAAAATATTCAATTATGTTCTCCCCAAGCTATTTTGAAGCACACAGAAAAATATAAATTTTTACGTATAGGTATGGTTCAAGTTGCAGTTAAACCTTTATTTCGAGTTGGTTTAGATATTCCTATTTTTGTATGTTTACGAGATATTGAATTTTTCTAATTCTCTTTTAGCTATGATTGAATCTAATTTAGCTAATGGTCATATCTATTTTAATTGTTATCCAAACTTTTCTTTGTCTCTTTATGATCCAAATATTCTAGATGTTTTAACTTTAACACTTAAATCTAAAAATATGAATTTTTCAGATAATACTAGTTATGATCCAATATTTTCTATGTATGTCTTTAACTGTAACACTTTAAATCTAAAAATTAATGAATTTTCAGATTAATACTAGTGTCTATAGTAGTTATATATGAAAATTTACTACCCAACTCAGTTTATGAACAGGCACCCTGATCCTAGATCGACATCACTTTAACATACGCGGCAATGAGAGACAATTAGTTTTTTGATACGCTAATACCTCAACATACAAAAGTTACACACTCCCTAAAAACGGGTTAAAGTTGCGATGAATTTAACCCAAGGAATATTCATGTGATTCTCCAAGAAATTACATTATCCCCAGTATTTGTTTGAAACATTTCTTACTTACTTCTAGTATTGTAGAAGATACCGAATGTGGGAAGTATTGCTATGTTCAATTTCCATTCCTTTACGAAATAATCCTACTAAGATCAATTAGAAAATCCTACTAGACAAGTATTTAGTTACAAAAACATAGATTATCTATCTTTTCGAATGCTAAATATTCAATTACAAAGTGTAGATTTTAATAGATTTATACGTAGCTCATATATGAAGAAGTAGAACAATTAGTTAACTTTTTGCCTTCCTCTCCTGAGAGATCTTTATCTCCTACAAGATCTGCTGTGGAACATATATCTCAATTAAATGTTATTAGTAAAAATGAATTTTCAATTAATAAAGAATTTCTTAGGAAAGAAATGACTACTGATTATAATTTAGATAAGTGTCATTGGTTTTTTGAAAGATATTCGAAAGAAAAAAGAGATCAAATTAGAAAATTATATTATGGTTACATGAATCAATATAAAGTTAATATTCCTTTCTTTCGGTGATTTTCTATTTACTTTATTGAGAATAGTATAAAATACCCTTTTCAAGAAGTTTAGTCAATCAAAAGGTAACTAAGGAATGGATAACTACATCTAATGATGT